TTAAGTGAGGAGTATGATTTTAAGTTGATGGTAGATGATGTTTTGCTGCAACTTTTGAGTTTGTGAGTTCCAGTCTTTTTTGTTCCAGTATTTTGAAATGTGCTGTGAAGAAACTAATGTTTCTGCTGCAAAAGCCTAGTTGAGCCAACTGCTCTCTCAAGCTAAAATGCAGTGTATGTATTTCATTAAGCCTATGCCTATGAAATGTAGAGGTTTCCATGGCCAGCAAAAATTGTCTATCTGAGTCCAGTCCTGATATCAGTCTCTATAAGACTTCCTGGCCTCTTTTCTTAGAAAATGCCCCCCCCCTTGTTTCATTCTGTATCTTTCAGGTTTTTTCCCCTTCTTACTTCTGTGCCAGGTAAATTTACTCCCGAGTAAGCTTCCTTTAAAGGAAACTGCAAAGAGGGGGGAGCAATCTTTCCTAAGGTACCCTGCATCTCACTTTCCTATGTGTAGTTATTAAAAATAATAATAATAATAATCTAAATCAGGCTTAATATTCCTCTACAAGTTCAGGAAAAAAATTGTTCACTTTTGTATTCCCTTTAAATCAAATCTATGGCTGTTTTAACTATGCTTAATAAAGATCCTCTCCCTATCTTAGAAACAAAAAACAAAAAACTGTTCACTTCAATCATCCTTTAAATATCATTTCTATAGGAACTTGCATTCTTTAGTCTAAGGAAACAAACTCACTCAAACTGTCTCAAGATCTGCTAAAAGGGTTCTGTGTGAAGTTGGGTACTTTTATTTTCCTCTTCCTTAGTACATGATAGGAACATAGATGTTTCCTTTCCCAGTTGTAAATCTGTACTTAAATGTGTATGTCTCTTTGGTAGTACAAATCTTGCTGTGAAAACTTGCTATGAACCCTATATTTTGGAGGGTTGGACTAGAGGACCCCAGGGTCCCTTTTCAACTCTCCCAATTTCTGGCTGTGTGGAAGGAAAAATTGTCTGCAAATGGTAAGGCTGAAATGACTGAGAATGTTAAAAAAAATCCTATGAATTCTGACTCTCTGGCCATTTTTTTCCCATATATAAGGGCGTGGCATTGTTCTGCGAATGGCCAGTGGGATATTAGCCCTTTCCTGTACATAAAGGAAGCAGTCCCTTTGCTTGGGCTGCAATTGCTAGCTTTGGTGAATACTTGAATCGCTGAGTTTCTCTTTTTTGTTTTAAAATCTAACCCTATTTTTAAAATCTACTCCTTACCCTTCCCTTCCCTTATTCAAATGGTAATTTAGCCCAAAGATTCAACATTTTCAATAGTATAAAAGGTTTGCTGAGACATGAACTCTGCACATGCACAGAGGCTAGATCAGCTAAAAAAAAAGGGGGGGAGGAAAGAGAGAGAGAGAGAAAGAGAGAGGAAGGGGGGAACTGTAAGGGGGGAGAGGAGGTTTCGAGAGCTTGGGCTGCAGGGAGAAACTTATCCAAATTTCCTTATGTAAAACTTGGAACCATTGAGAGAAATCACCCTTAATGTGTCCTTTGCTCCAGGGGCTACGTAAGACAAAAGGGTCAAGTACTAGCCCATCAAAAGTCAAGAGGTTTCCAGGTTTCAAATCTTAACATGCCAAATTCTTTTCACAGGTAAATATCAAAGCGCTCCCACTGTGAGTTCCACTCTTGACTAGTTCTCCCACCCCCAATGGGATTTAACTTTTATAACAGGCTTTGTGTGCATTATAGGAACAGCATTCCTGACAGAGATTTTCAAAGGAAATAAAAATTTCCCTTTAAAACAGGATACGTGAACTCGGACCCACATAAGCAAAATGTTTAATAACTTGCCAATTGTGTTCAAATTAACAAAGGTTTTGTCCCTCCGTTTCTTCCACAGCCAAACTAAGTGAAGGAAAGCAAACAAACTTGGCAGATAATAACAGTAATTATATGGAAATGTGATAATAATATTGGAATGAATGAAATGCTTAATCCGCTAAGATTTTTATTATTTGCAGCTTCCAATGGAAACTGAAGGACATCCTTTTGCCTTTTGCCCCTTCCCTTTTCTAACTCTGTCTTTTAAGTCCTCAAAACCCTGCCCCTTACAGGATATCACTTCTACAAATGTGTTACTACAGATCCAATGAAAAGCTTCGCCACCACAAGACCTGCAACAACAACAGACACCAAAGTTTCAAAGTGCCCACAGCTATCTCTTTCAAAGGATATAGACTGCCGGGGGAGTGGGCCTGACAAAGGGGGGTGGAGTTGAATTGCAAGGACATCTTCTCACTTTTGAACCTCAAGACTGTGCTCCAGGATTCAAAAGATACATACATAAAATATCCCAATTGTCTCGAGATATGCAACTGATATTTAATTAGTTTGTTTTGTATTATGTGTTATTACGTAGGAATGTTGAAATGTGTCTGACAGTGTGTTATTTCCACAAATCGGGGCTATTTTGTGTGTAATTGTTTTTATGTTTAATGTCTTATTCCTTACACCCCAGTGGAGGATTCTCATACATTTTATGCGTTCTAATAGGTCAGGCTATTGTGTAGTCAAATGTTTAGAATTAGATAAATTTATAACCACATTTCGTTGTTTCACCTGGCACTCTGCCAACTTCCCTACCCATTTAAAATGTGCTAAAACTCGCTTTACCAAGGAGAAGCTTCAGGAAGGTGTATATGCTTTGGTTTAGCAGGAATAATCCCTTATAGAGTTAAATTGACTTATTTGGATGGTTCTGTTTTAACAGAAAAGTTGAGAACCATGGGGCAAGAAAAATTCAAATTGGACTCAGTTTGAATTGGGCAAGTGTATCCAGGCTGCAATTAGCTTTTGGTCCTTAAAGTGCAAGTGAGCAACTTCCCATGACTGCAAGACCAGAGCCTATAATAATAAAATCCCATAGAATGGCCAAGGCAAAGACATATCTCTCATGACGTGTCCTAAACCTGTGCCAGCTGTGGTGAGTGCCAGGCAACATGGTTAATGTGAAAGCCCTAAGTGGATTCACCAGGGATTGCCACTGCTGTGACACCATGCCGATGTGAGACCACAGAAGAGCTACCTTGACACCTGAGAACACAAAAATGGCGGGGGACAAAGCAAACTGCATTTTTCAGTCATTGGTGGACCTTCCCGCTAAATGTAAAGCATAGACCACTATTGAGAAAATATTTCTTCCAAGGTGCTAGAATACCACAAGTAACTGAGCAACAAAATATTAATCTTACGTGATAGCCTATGTCTAACTATGTGCACTGTTACACTGTTATATTTCTATGCAAATATCCTTAAGGAGCGTGACATCCAAGTCCCTTTCAGGTTCACAGGGACACACGCATCTGGGACGGAGAATAGCAGGTTAATATTTACCACCTTAAATTGTGCGGAGATAAGATTGCAAAGGTGGCTACTTTGCAATCTTATCTCCGAAGGGGGGAACTGTAGCAGGAACCCCCCCACCCCAATCATTCAGTTTGTACAAACTTCACACACTCACACTCACACACTACATATGCCACACTTCTGTTATAAATTCATAGAAAAATCAACCATACATTGGATTTGCACTGTTCCATTTTTATTTTACTCCATATGACAAGGACTATCAAAGGGGGGTGGCTTGGTTCTGGTCAGCCATAATCCCTTCACCATCCCAGCACATCCACCGGAGCCCTGCCCAGTTGCTATGCCAACCCTGATGGTCCTAGACAGAAGACCATCAAGATCACAAAGAACTTGCATATGGGAGTGGATTCAGCATGGACTGAAACAAAGGACAATGATCAGATCTTCCCTCTGGGGGCAGGAAACTGCCAACTCCCCTTTGTCTCCTGGAAGTGACTCATGGGCCGGGGAAAGGAGGAACCAGCCAGGTGACAGGACACTCAGGTTACCACCACAACTCCTCCCTCAACCCCTCCTTTCTGTAATGTATGCATGATGTCAACCCCTCCTTTCTGTAATGTATGCATGATGTTTCTGGGGGTGGGCTTGACCTAGAGGAGGGGAATTTCAAAAGTTTTTATAAGGTCTTGCACACCATCTTTCTGGGTCTTTCCTCTCTCCTGCAAGTGAGGGGAACACCCTGTTGCAACAGTCTTTTCTTCAATAAAGACCAAGCCTACTGGCTGCTGATTTGCTTCCAATTGCTCTGGTTGGTGTCTTTGTTTTTGTCCAAGGGAGCCCTCAGATTTTCCGTTAACAGTTTCAATATAAAAATCATATGAATTCATGAGGATCCGTGCCTCAGATCCATGTTTTTGTGGTGCTGCAGCGTGGCAAAGTGTTGGATCCACGTTTTTTATAGTCCAGTTTGTAGGCGTGCCTTCTAGGTATGATTTGACACTGCATTTGTTGGAGTTATTTTTTAAAAAGTGGAGGATCCATGAGGATCCGTGTAGATCCGCCTTTTACCCAGACCCCTTTATAATTTGGTATTAATGGGTGATGAATAATCTTTTCTTTATTTCAATTAAGCAAATTTTTTTTTAAAAAAAGAATATAAATCTTAGAAAGATTCCCCCCCCCAAAGCATTTTATTTTAAAAATCCGATTATTATTTTTTAAAAATCCGATTAAAAAAATAAAATAAAATCCGATTTAAATAAAATAAACCCGATTTTTATTATTATTATTTTAAAATGATCATTAATGTTTATTCACCCTGATTATACATTTTTATTTGCTGCAAGTCACTTGGAGAGCTTCAGGTGACAAGCGACTAATAATAATACCTTGAAAAATCAAAGGCACGGGCAAAAGAGCGAACGAGGACTCGAACTCGCAGCCCTGAAAAGGAATCATGACGCTTCTTCCAGCGGCCCCGGCCTCCCACCGAGAAGCCACTTTCTGGATTGGCCCGTTGTCTAGGGATGTCAAAATAGAGCAGCAAATCACTCTGCGGTAAAGAGCTTGCCCCGCCCTCAATGGGCGGAGCGGCAAGGGAGAGCCGCGGTGACGAAATCATGAGGCTCGCCTTCCCCCCGCCCGGGCTTTTTTCCTTTTGCCCCGCCCTCTATTCGGTTGAGCATGCGCAATCGTTGTCGGGAGCAGCTCCGGCCAGATGCACGCACGCGTAGAGGCCGACATGCGCAGGAGCAGCGGGACGCATGCGTGAAGGGGCGGCCCGCTTCTCTCCCAGCAGCCGGGCGATTCAAACCTACCGGCTTGCCAGCCTCCAATGCCGTGCTTCGGCGAGACGCACGCGCAGAGGCCAACGTGCGCATGCGTGAAGGGCCTGCCCGCCGTTTCCCTTCCTTTCGCCCAGCAGCCGGGCGATCCAGCTGTCAGCGCATGCGCAACGCCTACCGGCTGGCCGGCCTCCGCCTGAGGAGACGCTCCGACGCCGCTCCTGCTGCGAAGCTGAGGCGGCGGCGACGACGGGCTGGAGGAGGAGCCTCCTCCGCCGGGCAAGTTCTTCGCGGGCACTGCCATGCTTCTCCCGTCACAGCTGTGAGGCCGGGCCTGAGGAGCAGCAGCCGAGGCCGCCCTCAGTGAGCAGGCCCGCCGCCGCCATGGCCCAGGTCGAGAAGATGGAGTTGGACCTGGAGCTGCCGCCGGCCGGGAGTGAGGGGGGCGGCCTGAGGCGCTTCAATAGTGCCCCACTCATCCACGGGCTCAGGTGAGGAACGGGCCCTCCCGCTGCTCGGGGATTACAACTCCCATCATTCCTACCGCACGGGACCGGTGGTCAGGGATGATGGGAATCGTAGTCCTCGAACAGCTGGAGGGCCGAGTTTGAGTCTAGTTCAACCGGTATCCCAAGAAATGGGGCACTGCGCCAGGAAGGCGCCTTCTCCTCTTGCGCCTGGCCATTCGCAGGAGGAGGAATAATAATAATGATAATAATAATAATAATAATAATAATAATAATAATAATAAATTTGTATCCCACCCTCCCTGGCCGAGGCCGGGCTCAGAGTGTCTAACATCATAAAAACAACACAATGTGCATAAAAACAGACATCAATCTTAAATCTAAAATAAATCTTAAAATTAATTCAGACAAGTTAAAATCTGGGCAGGTGGTGATTATCAGGTTGGAATTGAGAGTGGTTAATACTTGCCAAGACCAACTGTTTCCACTGTTTAAAATAATAGTTATTATTTCAAAAAGGGCATTGGGGTCGGTAGGAACAGAAAGGAGGCATCACACCCCCCCCCCCCGAGGTACTGTCACCCTTTTGGCCCTCCAGCTTCTTTGGGACTGCAATTCCCATCATCCCTGACCGCTGGTCCTGTGAGCTAGGGGTGATGGGAATTGTAGTCCCAAAGACGGCTGGAGGGCCAAGTTTGGCCATGCCTTCTCGAAATGAATGGGCGCGCAGAGACTCGAGCAGACCAAGATCCCTCGTGTGCGACGAAGCCGAACTTGAGGTTTGTGTGGGTATTATGAGACGTATAGGATGCCCAACTACTGCGCTTACAGACCCAGAGCAGAAATGTGAATATTGTTTATAGGCACCTTGCTTGTATATATCCCGTATCTTTCGCTCTATATGACACACTTTTTCCCCTCCAAAAATTGAGGGGAAATGTGTGTGCGTCCTATGGAGCCAATGCAGGCTCCTTGGCTTCAGCGATAGCAACGCTAAGCCTCCGAAGTGCAGAGGGAGCGTTCCCTCCGCGCTCCGGAGGCTTCGCGTTGCTTTCGCTGAAGCCTGGAGAGTGAGAGGCGTCGGTGGGCACCGACCCCTCTCGCTCTCCAGGCTTCAGGGATAGCCGCCTGAAGGCCTTCCTGCTGCGTTCTGGAGGCTTCAGGTTCCTTTTGCTGAAGGCAGGAGAGTCTTGCTCTCCCGGCTTCAGCAAAAGGAACCCGAAGCCTGAGGAGCGCAGTGGGAACTTGCGCTGCGCTCGGAAGGCTTCAGGGATAGCCGTGCGCAGCCCCTTTGGCAGGGAGAGGCTGCGCGGGGCTAAAGAGGAAGCCAAAACCGAGCGGGATCTATTCCGCTTGCTGTCTTGGCTTGTGCCATAGCCGCGTGCAACCACTCCGGCAGGGAGAGGTTGCGCTGGGCTAAAGAGGAAGCCAAAACAGCGAGCAGGATCCATTCCGCTCGCTGTCTTGGCTTATGCCATAGCTGCGTGCAACCCCTCCGGCAGGGAGAGGCTGCTCAGGGCTAAGGCTTCTTTAGCCCCGTGCAGCCTCTCCTGGCTGGAGAGGTTGCGCGCAGCTAAAGAGGAAGCCAAGACACCGCTGTCTTGGCTTGTGCCATAGCCGCATGCAACCCCTCCGGCAGGGAGAGGTTGCGCGCAGCCTGTACACTGCTCTTTGGGGCTGGGGGGGAAATGCGATTTTCCCCCTTGATCTCCCCCTGTAAAAACTAGGTGCCCCCTATGGTCCGGTGCGCCTTATGGAGCGAAAAATACGGTATATATGCGATGGAAGGCTTAAAAGTGGTTTTTGCGCCAGGTGAGCTGGGGGTTCCCCTGGAGGAAAAGCAGGGTGGATTTGATTTAAATCAAATCAATTTAAATCACGATTAAAATCACTAGTCAGTAAGGCTTGATTTAAATCCTCTTTTTTTTTTTTTACAGAAATGTTCAACCTTGCTGAAATCTTCTTCATATTGACAACCAGAGGAAGGTTTCGTTTTTGGAAGAATAAATTTTCAGAATAGTTTTTACAGTTACATCAAAAATGACTGATTTGGTTATACTATTAGAAATGCATACAGATAATTGTGAAATTATTGTTTCTATTTGGACATTGTACTTGATTGGAAGGAGAAAAATAATCATTTCCTTCATAACAATTTAAACAATTTATTTCACTAAAACAATAACATGATAAACATGATGGGCCATGCCTGGTTTAAAGCATACAGTTAAAACACAAATAAAGGATCTGGAGAGCACATTGGAATGTTGTTCTACTTTACGCTACCTAAGGTCACAGGGAATTGGTATCCTATAGACCAGCGATGGCCAAACTCGGCCCTCCAGCTGTTTTGGGACTACAACTCCCATCATCCCTAGCTAACAGGACCAGTGGTCAGGGATAACGGGAGTTGTAGTCCTAAAACAGCTGGAGGGCCGAGTTTGGCCACCACTGCTATAGACGTCTGTTACAATGGGCAATTACAGTGGTGCCTCGCAAGACGAAATTAATTCGTTCCGCGAGTTTTGTCGTCTTGCGATTTTTTTCGTCTTGCGAAGCACGGTGTCGGGAAAGTTTTGGAAAAGCTTCAAAAATCACCAAAGTCTTTAAAAACCTAAAAAAAGGCTACCACACCGTGTTCTATGAGTTGCTCCTCAAAGTCAAGTCGCAACTGTATTAACGGTGTTAAGAAAAAGGAAACAAACTTGCAGGATGTTTCCGTCTTGCGAAGCAAGCCCATAGGGAAAATCGTCTTGCGAAGCAGCTCAAAAAACAAAAAACCCTTTCGTCTAGCGAGTTTTTTGTCTTGCGAGGCATTCGTCTTGCGAGGTACCACTGTAACCTGTTGATATCAGTGGGGCTCCTGTTTTGTTGGCATCTGTCTGTCTTGGGAGACAATAGAGGACTGGGCCTGTTGAATGGCCTCATTCGTAATAATTTCAAACGGAGGGCTTCTTGTTTCACAGCTCATACTCTTAGCCAACATACTGCTATTCCACTAGTAATTAATAATGCTAATAATTTATTATTTATATCCCGCCCATCTGGCTGGGCTTCCCCAGCCACTCTGGGTGTCTTCCAACCGAATATTAAAAACACAAGACAGCATCAAGCATTAAAAAACTTCCCTAAACAGGGCTGCCTTCAGATGTCTTTTAAAAGTCAGATAGTTGTTTATTTCTTTGAGGGAGGGCGTTCCACAGGAAGGGAGCCACTAGCGAGAAGGCCCTCTGCCTGGTTCCCTGTAACCCCATATCTCTCAGGGAGGGATCCGCCAGAAGGCCCTCGGTGCTGGACCTCAGTGGAACGGTGGGCTGGAGACGCTCCTTTGGGTATACAGGATCGAGGCTGTTTAGGGCTTTCAAGGTCAGCACCGACACTTTGGATTGTGCCTGGAAACGTCCTGGGAGCCAATGCATATCTCTCAGGACCATTGTTACATGGTCTTGGTAAGGTTTTATTTTACAGAAAGGTTCAACCTCGCTAGCATCCTAATCATACTGACACACAGAAGAAGGTTTCCTTTTGGGAACAATGAAATCCTTTATTTACACAAAGGTTCAGCCTCGCTGGCATCCTCTTAACACACTTTGAATTGTGCCTGGAAACGTCCTGGGAGCCAATGCAGGTTTCTCAGGACCGGTGTTGTATGGTCTTGGTGGCCGCTCCCAGTCCCCAATCTAGCTGCTGCATTCTGGATTAATTACAGTTTCCGGGTCAGCTTCAAAGGCATCCCCACATAGAGCGCATGGCAGCAGTGTGGCCAGGATCCAAAGTGCTACAGGTGGTATTGTGCTAGCTGTGCATGGGAGCTACATATTTGTATAGAGCTAGCAATATGCGTGGCACATTTTAGAACAAACCAAGCAGCCTCTTCCAAAGTTGATAGTCGACATTTGGATGGGAGAGAAGAGGGTGGGAAGGGAAGAGTAGTCAATCAGGAATTTAGAATCGTATGTAAGACAGCTGCATAACGTAATAGATGCTTTCGCTTCTTTCAGTGACAATTCCCAGGTCTTTCAGCCTCACGTCTTGCGCACCCTCTGGAACAGCACAACGGTTGTGAACCGGCACAGCATGGTAAGCACTGGTGAGGTACAAAGCGCATTCGAACCCCAGGGGTTTGTGGAAGAGGGAGGCTGTGTGGGAGCCTGACAGACAGGCGGCGAAGGCCCCGTTGCATTTCCATCAAAGCTGAATTGGTGGTTGTGCTGTCAGCCCTTGACTCTAATATTATTTCATGCATATCAGTTGATATCTTGACCCTCCTCCATGAAAATAGCTGTTTACTTGGCCGTTTTCCTATGTTGTGAAGGCTGAAATTTCAATTCAGTGGAGCAGGGTCAATATATTAACTGATATGCATGAAATGTCAGAGATAGCTATATAATCCCTAGTGTAGTAACATAAGACCTTTGGAGCAGGCATTTTTTTTAAAAAAGTTTTTTATGAACCGCCCTAATCAGGGAACCACTTTTTGAGGTGGCAAAAGTGATGTCTTCATCGCCAGTTGCAATTTCCAGCTCCTGCCAGCCAACTCCATCAGGAGGAGGCCATAAGGCATCATCTTCTTTCGTGATTTCACCATCATCAATTATCCTCTTTATTTGTATTTATTTTTGTTCAAATTTTATTCATTTTCAATCACAACCTTCCAATTAATGACAAATCAAATCAAACCAATCCAGATTACAGTAATAGCAGTGCACCAATTATATATTCCAATTGTAAAAAAAAATTAAAAATTGGGACTTCCCGTGTTCCGGATGTCTGGAGATAACAGTCCTCATTCGCATCTCTGCATTTCCGGCTATTGTTCAAATTCAATACTAATATTATCCACCCTCATTCTGAATCTGATCAGTCGTCGTTTCTGTGGCTCACATCTTCTGTAGCAAAGCTTTTATGCATATGTATTATGCATATTGTATTTTTTCTGTGATGTTAACCGCTCTGAGCCTGGCTCCGGCCGGGGAGGGCGGGGTACAAATAAATTATTATTATTATTATTATTATTATTATTTTGTTAACACACAGGAGGCATGTTTTTCCCCTCCCCATCTTATTCTCTGCCCAATTATTTGGGTGTTCAGTCCTCTCTCCTTTGTTTGTCAAGTTCTCATTAAAGGCACTGGGCTTCATTCCAAAAATAAGAGTTTTTAAATGGCAAGTCAACAACTTCTCTCTGGTGTCTCCTAATGAGCTGGTGTCCGTGTATGTCTGTATATAATGCTGTGTTGTGGGGCATGCTTCCTGGCTGTGTATTACGTGGAAATTATTTAAATTCCTCCAAGAACAAAAGGACCCCCCCCAAGCTCCTCCGGGTTGATCATCCTCTTTACTTCTTGAGTACGCATGCTTCTTTTCTGATCCAGACATCATTTTTACAATTGCTGCCGTTTGCATGTCTCAGTTTCTCATCAGGGCGGAACTCGAACTCGAGTCCGGACTTCCTCTCGTGCCCGACATAATCACGCAAATAGAAATTGCAAATAGAAATATGGCCTGCCAAGAATCCCTGCTCTGTAGCGTAACTATTCATGGCATATCTCAGGACTGGAGTTGTTGAGCTTTTTTTACACTTTTACCCCAAAGCTGTTGAGCTGTTTTTCAGATGGAAGTTGTAGAGCTTTTTTTAGGATTGATGCTGCTGAGCTTTTTTTACAATTTTAACCCAAAGTTGTTGAGCTTTATTTAGGATTGAAGTTGTGCTTTTTTTACGATTTTGCCCCAAAGCTGTTGAGCTTCTTTTAGGATTGAAGTTGTTGAGCATGCAGTAAACTTTGTTTCCTCTTTCCATGACTTTTTGCAAGATGAGGAACTTGCAATTTTCTGTCTTGCAAAGAGGCAAGCTGATAGCATTTTCAATGGCAGGAATAAATTCAGCTAATTTTGCCCCAAGATTGAATTAGCTTTAGTATCAATCTCTACATGGTAGGCTAAAGTGTCAATCATCTCCACCAGATAAACAGATGAGCAGTGAGAAGAATAAGTTTTGCAGCTGAAATTCCACATATAAATAATGCTTCAACTCTTCTTAGCCACCAATGAAGGTGTTTTCAGGTTCTATCATTGTTAAAATATTTAGAGTACTGTATTTTTCGCTTGATAAGATGCACTTTCTTTCTCCTAAAAAGTAAGGGGAAATGTCTGTGCGTCTTATTGAGCGAATGTGTGGGCCCTGGAGCCGGCTGGCCCAAGTGCAGCGGCGAAAATCAGATCGCGTGTCACAGAGGAGGGAAGGCTGCAGAGAGGAGGCTGCTGGGGTTCCTGTATCGGGCATACTTTGGTGTGTGTGTGGAGGCGTGTGAGTCGTGTTGCTGCACGGGAGAGCGCATGGTTAAAGGGGGAGCTTGAGTGTCCTTGTGTGTGGAGCCTCTCAATCTGTACGGCATCCCAAGGCTACCGTCTGTTCATCAGCCCTGTTCCCCTTGCCTAATTATTGTAGCGCCTTCCTAAGGATTCAATTGCGACTCCTATTTTGTTTTGCGCTCCCCGCTGCGTATGGTTTTAACTGGGCGATTAAAGTCAGCCGCTGCTCTGCTCTTTTTGTTCTTGTCCCTTTCTGGCAGGGAGCGCACAGCCGCAGTGAACTCCTTTCCTGCCCCCTGCCTCAGGGTCTTACTGCCCACCCTCTTTTGTTTTTGGTTGATGTGTTTGCTCGGATTGGGCCAGCAATGGCCCATTCCCCTTGCTCAGAGTGTCTGCTTGCTGTGAGGTGACGCAGCTAGGAAGGAATTAGCAGGCAGACACGATCGTTTCCCCTTCCGTTGCTCAGCACAGGCTGTGGCAGCGTCACCTCACAGCAAGCAGACACGCTAAGCAAGGAGACTGGTAGCAGACAAATGCAACAAAGAGCAGGGAAGTCCCTTGCCCTCCTGGCAAGCAGAGGGGAAAGGATCGCGTCCTTCCTGCTAATTCCTTCCTAGTCACCCTGCGCGCAGGCTCCAGCCCACCCGGCTCAGGTTCCGTCAGCTAGAAGCACAACTGACAGCTGCTGCTGCCGCCGCCTCCTCTCCGTGCTCCAGTGCTTCTGCTGCTGCGTCCAGGGAAGCATTCTAGGGAAGCGCAGGCAGCCAGAAAACATGCAGGTGGGAGATAGAGAGAGGGGGCTGGCTTGGGGGGGGGGGACTTTTGCTTTCCTTTCCTCCCTCCCGTTAAACCCCTCTCCTGCATTGTTAGCCAGCTCCTTCTCCACACACCCCTCTCGTGCTCCTTGTCCCTTCTGTGTTTTTCCTTCCCTCCCCACTTAAAACGTGGTTACAAAGCACAGATCCACATGGATCCTCAGGATCTTTGCATTGGGTCACCCCAAATTCAACATCAGATCACATAGCATGTCCATGGGTACAGCCTGTACCAAAAAAATCATGCACCCACTGTTGCCTGGGGCCGCAGTGGCGCAAAAATGTGGTTACAAAGCACAGATCCACATGGATTCTCAGGATTTTTGCATTGGGCTACCCCAAACTCACCGTCAAATCACATGTCTGTGGCCACAGCATGAAGCACAAAAATCATACATCATTGTTTCATTCAGAATATTTTTTTTCTTGTTTTCCTCCTCTAAAAACTATGTGCGTGTTATGGTCAGGTGCGTGTTATAGAGCGAAAAATATGGCAATATTACCTTCCTTTGCAACAGATTTATATGATGGAGTTTGATCGCATCTGCATGAGAGAAACTGTCATTCCTCTTTCCTTTTAAGAAGTGAATATTCTTTCAATGCTGTAAAAATAAGGAGTTTTCAGGGCCACATGCCTTGGAGCAGAGGCTGAGTGGTAGTGTATTTTTCCTCCATTAAAATGGGTGGAATGCATATCTACCATAATCAATAGTCCTGGGGAGGTTACAGCTGTGGAAATATTAGTGTTCTTCAGGGTGGATTTGATTTAAATCAAATCGATTTAAATCACGATTTAAAGCAGTAGTCCATAACGCTTGATTTAAATCCTTTTTTACAGAAAGGTTCACCCTTGCTGGCATCCTCTTCATAAAAACAGAATACTGAAGGTACACTTTAACAGGGTGGATTTGATTTAAATCAAATCAATTTAAATCACTATTTAAATCACTAGTCAGTAAGACCTGATTTAAATCCTTTATTTACAGAAAGGTTCAACCTTGCTGGCATCCTCTTCATATTGAAAACCAGAGGAAGGTTTCATTTTTGGAAGAATAAATTTTCAAAGTAGTTTTTACCATCACATCAAAAATGATTGATTTGATTCTACTATCAGAAACACATAGATCATTATGAAATTATTGTTCCTGTTTGGACAACTTTTCTGCTGTACTTGATTGGAAGGAGAAAAATCATCATTTCCTTCACCACAATTTAAAACATTTATTTCTCTAAGACAATAACATGGTAGCATATGGATCCGTGTTTGTTAACTGATGTGGTTAAACTATTAGAAATGCATTGAAAGATAATTATGAAATTATTGTGAGGTTTATTCTGTGTCCAGGGCAGCTGTTTATCAGCTCCATCTGGTACGCAGGCTGAGACCCTACCTGTCCGCGGACTGTCTCGCCAGAGTGGTGCATGCTCTGGTTATCTCTCGCTTGGACTACTGCAATGCGCTCTATGTGGGGCTACCTTTGAAGGTGACCCGGAAAATACAATTAATCCAGAATGTGCTAGCTAGACTGGTGACTGGGAGCGGCCGCCGAGACCACATAACACCGGTCTTGAAAGACCTAAACTGGCTCCCAGTACTTTTCCGAGCACATTTCAACGTGTTGGTGCTGACCTTTAAAGCCCTAAACGGCCTCGGTCCAGTATACCTGAAGGAGCGTCTCCACCTCCATCGTTCTGCCCGGACACTGAGGTCCAGTGCCGAGGGCCTTCTGGCGGTTCCCTCACTGCGAGAAGCCAAGTTACAGGGAACCAGGCAGAGGGCCTTCTCGGTAGTGGCGCCCGCCCCGTGGAACGCCCTCCCACCAGATGTCAAAGAGAAAAATAACTACCAAACCTTTAGAAGACATCTGAAGGCAGCCCTGTCTAAGGAAGCTTTTAATGTTTAATAGGTTATTGTATTTTAGTGTTTTGTTGGAAGCCGCCCAGAGTGGCTGGGGGGACCCAGCCGGATGGGTGGGGTATAAATAATAAATTATTATTATTATTACTATTATTTAATAAGTTAACCGTTTATATTTGGACAACTTTTCTGCTGTACTTGATTGGACGGTCCATCTGTTAATGGACAGCCGTCCTGACTCGGCCCCAGACACACTGATCAGATGTTTGGAAGCTGTGGCTGGATGGTTACGTGGGAGCCGGTTGAAGTTAAAGCCTTCGAAGCCAGAGGTCCTTTGGCTGGGTCGGGACAATATGGGATTGGGGGGCCAACTCCCATCTCTTGCGGGGTTGCAATTAGTGCCAGCGTCATCCATTAAAAGTTTGGGTGTAATCTTCGACATCTATGAAGGCGCAGGTTGCAGCTATAACAAAGGTGGCATTTTTTCATCTCCGCCAAGCTAAGCAGTTGGCTCCTTACCTCTCTCGCCCTGACCTCGCCACTGTGATCCATGCAACGGTCACCTCCAGGCTTGATTATTGTAACTCACTGTACGTGGGGCTGCCCTTGAGACTGACCCAGAACTTCAGCGGGTGCAGAATGCTTGGCTTCTCGCAGTATACCTTCAGGTATACTGGACCGAGGCCGTTTAGGGCTTTAAAGGTCAGCACCAACACTTTGAATTGTGCTTGGAAACGTACTGGGAGCCAGTGTAGGTCTTTCAAGACCGGTGTTATATGGTCTTGGCGGCCGCTCCCAGTCACCAGTCTAGCTGCCGCATTTTGGATTAGTTGTAGTTTCCAGGTCACCTTCAAAGGTAGCTCCACGTAGAGCACATTGCAGTAGTCCAAGCAGGAGATAACCAGAGCATGCACCACTCTGGCGAGACAGTCTGCGGGCAGGTAGGGTCAGATGGAGCTGATAAACAGCTGCCCTGGACACAGAATTGATTTGCACCTCCATGGACAGCTGTGAGTCCAGAATGACTACCAGGCTGCGTACCTGGTCCTTCAGGGGCACAGTTACCCCATTCAGGACCATGGAGTCCTCCACACCCGCCCTGTCCCCCCAAAACAGTACTTCTGTCTTGTCAGGATTCAACCTCAATCTGTTAGCCACCATCCATCCTCCAACCGCCTCCAGGCACTCACACAGGACCTTCACCGCCTTCACTGGTTCCAATTTGAAAGAGAGGTAGAGCTGGGTATCATCCGCATACTGATGAACACCCAGCCCAAACCACCTGATGATCTCTCCCAGCGGCTTCATGTAGATGTTGAAAAGCATGGGGGATAGGACAGAACCCTGAGGCACCCCACAAGTGAGAGCCCAGGGGTCTGAACACTCATCCCCCACCACCACTTTTGGAACACGGTCACGGAGGAAGGAGCGGAACCACTGTATGACAGTGCCCCCAGCTCCCAGCCCCTCTAGATGGTCCAGAAGGATGTTATGGTCGATGGTATCAAACGCCGCTGAGAGATCCAGCAGAACTAGGAAACAGCTCTCACCTTTGTCCCTAGTCCGCCGGAGATCATCAACCAGTGTGACCAAGGCAGTTTCAAAGGCAGTTTCAGCCCCATGATGAGGCCTGAATCCCGACTGGAAGGGATCCAAATGGTCCGCTTCTTCCAGGTGTGCCTGGAGTTGTTCAGCAACCACTCGCTCAATCACCTTGCCCAAGAATGGAAGATTTGAGACTGGGCACACAAAAACTTTAAACAAATCCTTATTTCCTGATGAATAGCCTTTGGACTATAATGTCACTTAAATAGAAAATCTTGACAAAGATTTTTTCTTCGAAAGCGTTTTATTTTCAAAATCCGATTTACCGTATACCATGTATAAGACACCCCCTATTTTGGGGGACTCCAAATTAAGCAAACACCCCTCAGCACTACCCGTGTAGAAGACGAGCCCCAATTTTAAACCTATCTTTTTTTGTAAAAAACCCTAGTCTTATAGATGGAAAAATATGGTAAAACCAAAAAATCCGATTTAAATATTTTAAAAATCCGATTTAAATATTTTAAAAATCCGATTTAAATATTTTAAAAATCCGATTTAAATTTTTAAAAATTGATTTTTTTTATTTAAAAAAAAATCATTGATTTTAATCCACCCTGGCATTCTTACTATACAATTCTGTGGGCAGTTTTTATTAGCGGCTCATCTTTCCTTCTTTACAAAGTGGCATGCCAGGTTCTTGAGTGAGTGTTGGCTTTCAGCCCAACCAAAGCAAGGTAACTTCTGAAAGGTCTGTGTCTTCCTTCTCTCCCACAGCTGGTCTCTTCCTCTACAATTTGTATTCCCAGCAGCCGACTCCATCAGATCAGGAGGGTAAGCAACATTTCACTTCTACAGGTGCTGTCATCGAAGTACAAACATATATAAAGGTTCTTTGGAATTGGTCTCAATAATATCTCGGTTATTCGAAGAAAACAATTGTTTTGCAGAAATTAAGACTATAATGGAAATTGTTTGAAGATTATATGTCCAGACACTGCTCAAAAAATAATACGTTGATATGTGTGGATTAATGCTTGTAAAGTCGAGTAAGAATAAATAATAATAAGTTAAGAGAGTTAAGAAACAAAGATATAAATTGCAATGTGAAATACAGTAATACTGTACAAAAGAAGGTGAATGTTGGTGGAGGGAAGTCACAAGGGTGTTTTAATGTTTGTAATTGGTGTCAGTAGCGTATGTGAAATATTTCTGTTTTCCTGTTGGTTTGTATATAAAATAAAATAAAATTTAAATAATAATAATGTATTTCTACTGTGCCCATCTGGCTGGGTTTCCCCAGCCACCCTGGGCGGCTTCCAACAGAACACTAAAAACATAATAAAACAGGCATAGGCAAACTTGGCCCTCCAGCTGTTTTGGGACGACAACTCCCATCATCCCTAGCTAACAGGAACAGTGGTCAGGGATCATGGGAGTTGTAGTCCGAAAACCTCTGGAGGGCCGAGTTTGCCTATGCCTGGAAGAAGGGGCAGGGGAGTTCAGGGTGGGGCGGGCGGGCAGGCTTCCTCGCTGGCATCCTCTTAATATTGACAACTAGAGGAAAGTTTCCTGTACTTCGCCGTTGAGGGCTTTCAAGGTCTGCACCGACACTTGGAATTGTGCCCCAAAACGCCCCGGGAGCCTATGCAGGTCTTTCAGGACAAGTGTTATGTGGTCTCGGCGGCTGCTCCCAGTCCCCAGTCTAGCTGCCGCATTCTGAATTAATTGCGGTTTCCAGGTCACCATCAAAGGTAGCCCCACGTAGAGCATGTTGCAGTAGTCCAGTGATGGCCAAATTTGGCCCCCTCCAGCTGTTTTGGGACTACAACTCCCATCACCCCTAGCTCACAGAACCAGGGGTCGGGGATGATGGGAGTTGTAGTCCCCAAACAGCTGGAGGGCCAAGTTTGGCCATCACTGCAGTAGTCCAAGCGGGAGATAACCAGAGCATGCACCACTCTGGTGAGACGGCTGGCAGGGAGCTGGTTTCTGCTGCTGCAGAGGGTCGAGATGTGAGCTTCCAGGTTTGAAAGCTTCCTGCAGACAGAAAACGAGCATGTTGGGGGAAAATGTATCTTCCTGATACATTTATGTTTTGTGTGCATCTGCGCGGTTATTTATAATCAAACGCATACAGTGGTACCTCGGGTTAAGTACTTAATTCGTTCCGGAGGTCCGTTCTTAACCTGAAACTGTTCTTAACCTGAAGCACCACTTTAGCTAATGGGGCCTCCTGCTGCTGCCGGAGCACAATTTCTGTTCTCATCCTGAAGCAAAGTTCTTAACCTGAAGCACTATTTCTGGGTTAGCAGAGTCTGTAACCTGAAGCGTATGTAACCTGAAGCGTCTGTAACCCATGGTACCACTGTATTACCCTATCCTCTGTGATGGTACAGTTTGGCTGCACCATGCAATTCTGCTGATACACCCTGGTGCAAATTTATGTATTTTTTCCGTGTATAAGACTAGGTTTCCCCCCAAAAAATTAGGGGGGGCGTCTTATACTCGGATATATCTTCCACCCATTTTCTTAAATCTGATTCCCCCAAAATAGTCTTATACAGTGGGACCTCAGGTTACATACGCTTCAGGTTACAGAACATGCTGATTCCTGGACCGTCTGCAGGCCAGATTGAAAAGGCGATTGGGCCGGATCCGGCCCCCGGGCCATAGTTTGCCTACCCATGCTGTTGATTTTCAGATCCCCGCACCACACTCGAGCATAGCTGTGCAGTCTTACAGCGCAGAGGCGACTTTCTGCATATAGCCCACCAATTCTCCATGGGATTGTCGGGGGAATTTCCTGGCTAATCAAGTATCTGTCTTTGCTGCTCTGTCGTGAATTTCTTCGCCGCTTTCGATATGTGACAGGGAGCTAGGTCCTGCTGCAATATCTCAGTACCGTCAGGATACCTCTTTCTCAGCTCTGGAATAACTCTCTTTCGTAGAACCTCAATAGATTGTGGCAAGCTCATCGTTCCTCCTATTGGCTGCAGGCTTCCGACACCACAATGACCAACTGGCTTTTCATGTTTGTTTTGAGTACAGGATAGCGAGTGAGATAGAAAATATTCTTTGTTTCAGTTCATTTGCACAAGGCTGTATAGGATGTAGCAGTGGTGGCCAAACTTGGCCCTCCAGATGTTTTGGGACTACAACTCCCTTCATCCCTGGCCTCTGGTCCTGTTAGCTAGGGATGATGGGAGTTGTAGTCCCAAAACAGGCATCCCCAACCTGCGGCCCTCCAGATGTTTTGGCCTACAACTCCCATGATCCCTAGCTAACAGGTCCAGTGGACAGGGATGATGGGAATTGAAGTCCAAAACATCTGGAGGGCTGAGTTGGCCGATGCCTGATATAGGATATATGGTTGATATAGGAAGTGATATTTTGTGGAGCAGGAAGTCATTAAGAACTAAGCTGTGAATTCTTGTACTCCAGGAGGAAGGAGTGGATTTGATGAACAGAGAAGCGGCACATGAAAGGTAGGTGCAACTGAACTGCTGTCTTAAAAAAAAAGGAGCAAATATACCCACAACGTAACTTGCTGTGTTTAACTGTATAAATTATTTATACATCATATAAATATAACTCTTTTCACATTATCTAATTGAGTAGAAGCAATTAAAGACCAACATTTAGAACAGGAAATACAAATAGATCAGTTCTTATATACGTAATGTCCAAATAGAAGCTTTTGTGTTCCATGTATGTACAAATGAATCAGTTTTTTTAAAGGTAATGTCCAAATAAAAGCTTTTTGTGTTCCATGTATGTCTTTACAAATACAAGTGTCAGACGCGACAACTTTAAGAAGCAGTACTTGCAGAAAATGAACTTGTTCTTTGTAATGTTCCACATATGCCTTTGCAAAGTATAGTTGTTGTATGCAGTTGCTGTAAAAAAAAAGAAGAAGCGACTGTGTTCTCTTGTCACCACTGATGAGCCTTTTTGTGTTTTAGGGAAGTCCAAACAGCACTGCAGATAAGCCAATCATGGGAAGAAAGCTTGAGCCTGGTAATCTTTTTACAGATGTTTAATATTTTAATTTAATTTAATTTAATTTAATTTAACCAGTGAGCTTAGAGTGGGGAATGAAGTGATTGGCTGTGCTCTTTTTCACTGAGATTTTTGCAGCGCAGCCCCATGAGGCTGTCAACATGACCCTTTTGTGTTCTCAGAGTGACAACGACTTGGACAAATCGGAAAAATCCTCGTCTCCAAAGAGGATAGACTTCATTCCCATCTCTCCGGCACCTTCGCCCACGAGGGGGATTGGAAAGGTACGCCAGAGAGCTTCCTCAGTTTAGGAGTCGCAAGGGAGGTGGCAGTGTGGGAAGACTTTTCTATACAGCAGGGACGCCCAACTCCCGATAGACTGTGATCTACTCTCGCAGTATAAAAAAAACTGGCCGGGATCTACCCATTGTCGTTGGATGGATCAAAGTTGTGGAGCTTTTTTTTGGGAAGCCAAAGTGGTTGACCTTTTCCCCTGGAAGAAAATGAATGAAGGAGACGGAATATATAAATGAATGGAACGAAATACATGAATGAATGGTACGGAATATATGAATGAATGAATGAATGGAACAGAATATATGAATGAACAGAACAGAACGAGCGTTGCGATTCACACAGAACATAATCAAAGGTCACTTATATATAATACACAGTTGAGGGTCCTGAATCCGCAGTCCGATAGTGCAGGGACAGCCAACTCCCGATAGACTGCGATCTACTCAGTATTAAAAAAAAAACTGGCCGGGATCTACCCATTGTTGTTGGGTGGATCACAGTTGTGGAGCTTTCCCCCCCCAGAAGCAAATGAATGAAGGAGACGGAATATATGAATGAAGGGAACGGAATATACGAATGAATGGAACTGAATAGATGAATGAATGGAACTGAATGAGCATTGCGAGATACACAGAACATAATCAAAACTTGATTATATAAAACACAGTGGAGGGTCCTGAATCCACAGTCGGATAGTGGAACTTAATTTGATGGCCCACTTTTTTGCTAGGGAGCAAAAGTGGCTGATCTTTTTTGGGGAAGGCAAAGTTGTTCAGCTTTTCTTAGGAAGCCAGAGTGGTTGAGCTTTATTGAGGATGCAGTAGTTGTTGAGCTTATTTTATTGTGTGTGGGGGGGGGGGGGAGATCCCTGAGGGACCAGAGATCGACCAGGAACACCCCACGATCTACTAGTAGATCGTGATCTACCTGTTGGACGTGCCTATTATACGGGAACTAAATGATATTTAGTGGTCTTTGGGAGTCCTCAGATCTTTTGGACTGATAAGCTCATTCATAATCTTCAGACAGGGCTGTGGACACCAACCCTTCTGGTTGCTTTTGTCAAGAACTGGAGGGATCAATATTTTGCAATATGTTTATAAAACTTCATTTTTTCCTATCATTTTTATTAGTTTTTTGTAAACATTTTAAACATAGCATTCAACTTATATATAACATAGAAAACATTTGGCTAAAACAGCCGGAGACTTCCCTCCTCCTTGACTAATGGTTTTCTGTGTATAAGACTAGGCCCCCCCCCTAAAAAATAATGTCAAAAATTTGGGGGCGTCTTATACACAGATACGTCTTCCCCCCATTTTCTTAAATCGGATTTCCCCAAAATAGGGGGTATTTCCTACATGGGGGCATCTTATGGGCAGAAAAATAAAGGTAAAGGTACCCCTGCCCGTATGGGCCAGTCATGTCCGACTCTAGGATTGCGTGCTCATCTCGCTCTAGAGGCCGTGAGCCGGCGCCGTCTGAAGACACTTCCGGGTCACGTGGCCAGCGTGACGAAGCTGCAGCTGGCGAGCCAGCACCAGCGCAGCACACGGAAACGCTGTTTACCTTCCCGCTATAAAGCGGTCCCTATTTATCTACTTGCACTTAAGAGTGCTTTCGAACTGCTAGGTGGGCAGGAGCTGGGACCGAACGACGGGCGCTCACCCCGCCGCGGGGATTCGAACCGCCGACCATACGATCGGCAAATCCTAGGCACTGAGGTTTTACCCACAGCGCCACCCGCGTCCCTAGGCAGAAAAATACAGTACTATTAAATCCAAATTGTAAATTGACCATTTTTAAATTACCGTATTTTTCTGTCTATAAGGCGCCCCCATGTATAAGATGCCCCCTATTTTTAGGGACTCAGATTTAAGAAAATGGCGGGAGATGGCCCCCATGTATAAGATGCCCCTCAATTTTGGACACTATTTTTTAGGGGGGAAACCTAGTCCTATAGACGGAAAAATACGGTACTATTAAATCCTAATTATAAATCAACCATTTTACACTTTGCAATAATGGATAAAGTCCACCTTACAAAACTTCTGGCAACCTTCCTAGCGAAGTTAGTTTTTTACAATTGTCTTTCAAGTATTCTGTAAATTTATTCCAATATTTCAGGAAAGTCTGGTCTTGCTGGTTCTGAATTTTCCCTGCAAGTTTCGCCAGCTTGCCATAGTCCATTAATTTCGTCTGCCCCTATTCTTTCGTTGGGATCTCTTGTATGCTTCCAGCGTTGGGCTAATAATATTCTTGCTGCAGTTCTTGCAGATAAAAACAGTCTTTTATCTTGCTTATGTATTTCATTACCTACAATGCCTAGTAAGAAGGCTTCTTGGTTTGTTTTTTAAAATAAATATATATTTTAACATTTTTTAAAAGTTCATTATAAATCATTTCCCGGAAAGCTTTCACCTCCTTACAGACCCACCACATAGTTTAAAAGTACCTTCCTTTTCTTTACGTTTCCAACAACAATTCCTTGTTTTATGCATTTCAGTTAATTTCGCTGGTGTTGATATGTTGATAAAACTTCTTATTTCTAACGACAGAAACATCATTTCAGGTGCTTTTCAATGCTGTGCTTGTCTTTCCTAGCAATGCTTCTCTCCCTCCCTGCAAATGTTTGTGTGTAGTAATGGATTGCCTCCAAGCCCAACTCCTAGCCCCATAAGGAGATTTTCAAAGTAAGTCAGTATATCTGCTGAAGCGTTTCTTAGTAATCAGTTTGACTTCTGTACTGTTAACTTATACATGACCTATGCCTGCAAATGGAACAGATCAGGGTGGATAAAAAGCAATGATTTAAATATATATATGTCAAAAAAGATTTTTTTATTTAAATCGGATTTTTTAAGAAAATTAAATCAGATTTTTAAAATAAAATGCTTTTGGAGGAAACATCTTTCTAAAGATAGTTTTCTATTTAACTGACATTCGAGTCCAAAGGCTATTCATCAGGAAATAAGGATTTTCATTTTCATTTTTCAAAAATAATAAATTTTCAGAGTAGTTTTTACAGTTACATAAAAAATGACTGATTTGGTTCTACTACAGTCATACCTCAGGTTAAAGACGCTTCAGGTTGAGCGTTTTCAGGTTGCGTCCTGCGGCAACCCAGAAGTACCGGAAAGGGTTACTTCCGGGTTTCGCCACTTGTGTCAAAATGACGTCACGCGCATGTGCAGAAGCGGCGAATCACTAAACACACGCAGACGTGGGTTGCATTCTGCTCAGGTTGTGAATGGGGCTCCGGAACCATAAAATTACTCATCTCCTACTATCCTTCCGAGAAATATCCCACCCCACCCTCCCTCTATATATCAGGGTCTGGGGACTTCTGGTTCAGTGTATCTGAAGAAGTCTGCCTGCGCACGACAGCCAAGTGTTATTATCAATGAATACAAGGATTAAGAAAAAGTCAGTCATGGAGGCGCAGGTCTGTAGTCCTACTACGCTTTCGTTTGGGAACCATAAAATCACTCATCTCCTACTACCCTTCTGAGAAAAAACCCACCCCACCCTCCACTATATATAAGAGTCTGGGGACTTCTGTTTCCGTGTATCTGAAGAAGGGTGCATGCACACGAAAGCTTATACCAAGAACAAACTGAGTTGGTCTCAAAGGCGCTGCTGGACCATTTTTAATTTTTTATTTAGTTATTCCGACTGTGTCCGACCAACGCGGCTGCCCCCCTGAATCTAGATGCATGCTGATGGACAGTGTGTGGCGTTGTGTTTGTTATTATTTATTATTTCTTCTATTTCTGCACCGCCCCATCCCTGAAGCTCTCGGGGCGCTTCACGTTAAAAACCACTTGCATAAAACCAACACGAAAACCAGATTATCAGTTGTATAATTTAAACATCATGTGTGTTTCCTTACTTGTCTACTCCAATACAGCCACAACACGTGGTTAATGAATGTAATAAATGCATTTATTAATAGTAGAATGTCACCCCAAATTTACAATTTCCAAATAAAATAGATACCAGTCCATCACCAAAGAGTAGTCAACGTAATGAGTTAACATTTCAAATAGTGCTGAAGCAACCTGTATATTAAATAACGAATAAACAATAAATTAGGAATACACACCAAGTATTTTTTTTAGAATATCCATACAGGTAAATATAATACTTGGGGATCAGTGCTTACTAACCAGTGTATCTAGCTGATGCTGATAAAACCAATGTATAGAACTTATAAGGTTATTCACAGATGTATCAAATAACAAATAATTAGGATCAATGTAGAAGAAGAAGAAGAGTTTGGATTTTATATCCCGCCTTTCACTCCCTTTAAGGAGTCTCAAAGCGGCTAACATTCTCCTTTCCCTTCCTCCCCCACAACAAACACTCTGTGAGGTGAGTGGGGCTGAGAGACTTCAAAGAAGTGTGATTGGCCCAAGGTCACCCAGCAGCTGTATGTGGAGGAGCGGAGACTCAAACCCAGTTCCCCAGATTACGAGACTACCGCTCTTAACCACTACACCAAATGTAAGAAACTTTAAAGGTACAGTGCATCAAATCTGGCAGCACACCGCAAGCTGAAACCATAAAGTCACAGGCTGGTTACTTAAAGCCCATTTTTAAAATAAATTTCTTTCTTCTGACAATTTATCAGTTATTACAGTGGTACCTTGGGTTATAGACGTTTCAGGTTACAGACTCCGCTAAGCCAGAAAGAGTACCTCAGGTTAAGAACTTTGCTTCAGGATGAGAACAGAAATCGCGCGGTGGCGGGGCGGCGGCAGCAGTGGGAGGCCCCATTAACTAAAGTGGTGCTTCAGGTTAAGAACAGTTTCAGGTTAAGAATGGACCTCCAGAATGAATTAAGTTCTTAACCCGAGGTACCACTGTAATTTAAACATGTTATGGGTTGCCTTACTCGCCTAAGCAGATAGCAATTGGCATTTCTGATGTTATGTAACTTGTCATTATTGTGTTTTATTTTCTGGAAAGGATAGCATTTATTTTCAACTTTATATCGATTTTATTAGCATTGTCCTGAAAATACTGCCCCGTGTAGATATGCTTATTAAAGAGCGGACTCGTGTAGCAGAGTTTCATTTGATAAACTGCTAGGGCACAAAGTCCATCTTCGGTGAAATTCCTTGGCGGTTAAAAATAGTAACAGTGCTTGCTTTTAAGGGATGAAAGCTTGTGAAAGGCTACTCTTTGTAAGGATTGGGTGGAGTATCTATACAGCATTATAATCAGGGTGGATTTGATTTAAATCGATTTAAATCACGATTTAAACCACTCGTCAGTCAGACTTGATTTAAACCACTAGTCAGGAAGACTTGATTTAAATCCCTTTTTACAGAAAGGTTCAACCTTGCTGGCATCCTCTGAATACTGACAACCAGAGGAAGGTTTCCTTTTTGGAATGATAAAATCCCTTTTTAACAGAAAGGTTCAACCTTGCTGGCATCCTCTTAACATTGACAATCGGGAGGAAGGTTTCCTTTTTGGAATCATAATTTTTTCCAGTTATATAAAAATGACTGATTTGGTTATACCATTAGAAATACTTACAAAATTATGGTGAGGTTTAATAAGTTAACTGTTTCAATTTGGACAACTTTTCTGCAGTACTTGATTGGAAGGAGAAAAATAATCTTTTCCTGCACAACAATTTAAACAATTTATTTAACTAAAGGAATAACATTATAGCACATGTATCCATGTTTGTTAACTGATGTGGTTAAACTATTTTTTTAAAAAAAACCCTTAGACTGAGTTTAGCACTTAAAACAGGCATCCCCAACCTGTGGCCCTTCAGATGTTTTGGCGTACAACTCCCATGATCCCTAACGGGACCAGTGGTCAGGAATTATGGGAATTGTAGTCCAAAACATCTGGAGGGCCGAAGGTTAGGGATGCCTGATTTAAAACAAATCCTTATTTCCTGATGAATAGCCTTTGGACTATAGTGTAACCTAAATGGAAAACTATCTTTAGAATGATTTAAAAATCCGATTTAAATTATTAAAAAATCTGATTTTTTAAAAAAAACATTGATTTTTATCCACCCAGATTATAATTTTGAAAACACAATGCAGTAGCTTTAAAGTCGTCTTGTCACCTCAGAAGTTTCCCCATTCCTAGGTTGACCGTAATCCGGCTTTGATTTTAGCAGGAGGAGCCAGAGTCCAATCAACTGCATCCGGCCCAGCGCTCTTGGTCCCATCAAAAGGAAAGGTATGTGCAGGGGCAAAGGCAGGGGGGTGCCGTGGGGCCGTCCGTCCCGGGTGTCACCACTGGGGGGGGGACACAAAATGCCGTGGGGCCCTCACCGTGGGGCCTGCGGCCTGCCCGAGCCATGCGTCTTTCCTGCTCCAGATCAGGCATGGCCAAACTTGGCCCTCCAGCTGTTTTGGGACTATAACTCCCACCACCCCTGACCACTGGTCCTGTTGTTGGGATATTGCGTTCCACCTTAAGAACAGACGTGTGGATTGTTGCATGTCACATGTCTGTTTACAGTCCAGCACAGCTTGGAGGATGGATGGCGGCTAACAGATTGAGGTTGAATCCTGACAAGACAGAAGTACTGTTTTGGGGGGACGGGTGGGCGGGTGTGGGGAACTCCCTGGTCCTAAATGGGGTAACTGTGCCCCTGAAGGACCGGGTGTGCAGCCTGGGAGTCATTTTGGACTCACAGCTGTCCATGGAGGCACAGGTTAATTCTGTGTCCAGGGCGGCTGTCTATCAGCTCCACCTGGTACGCAGGCTGAGACCCTACCTGCCTGCGGACTGTCTTGCCAGCGTGGTGCATGCTCTAGTTATCTCCCGCTTGGACTACTGCAACGCGCTCTATGTGGGGCTACCTTTGAAGGTGACCCGGAAACTGCAATTAATCCAGATTGCGGCAGCTATTCTGGCGACTGGGAGTGGCTCCCAGGACCACATAACACCGGTCCTGAGAGATCTGCATTGGCTCCCAGTACGTTTCCGAGCACAATTCAAAGTGTTGGTGCTGACCTTTAAAGCCCTAAATGGCCTCGGTCCTGTATACCTGAAGGAGCGTCTCCACCCCCATCGTTCAGCCTGGACGCTGAGATCCAGCACCGAGGGCCTTCTGGCGGTTCCCTCATTGCGAGAAGTGAGGTTACAGGGAACCAGACAGAGGGCCTTCTTGGTAGTGGCGCCCGCCCTGTGGAACGCCCTCCCTTCAGATGTGAAGGAAAGACATCTGAAGGCAGCCCTGTTTAGGGAAGTTTTTAATATTTAATGCTGTATTGTTTTTAACACTTGATTGGAAGCCGCCCAGAGTGGCTGGGGAAGCTCAGCCAGATGGGCGGGGTATAAAGAATAAATTATTATTATAAATTATTATTATTATTATTATTATTATTATTATTATTGCTGCGAACTTCTGTTTGTGTATTGCTTTTGCTTTAGCTGTCTTGCTTTGGACACGAAGGAAAGCAGACATGTTTTCCTTTTGTCCTGATGTATGCTGAATAAACTGCTTGTAAATATGCTCACACAACCTCTCTTGCCACTTCTGTTTGCGTGTTTACTCTGCTGAGTAGAGTGCCCCAGCTTCTGAAGCTCGGGTCCAGATTCATGCTGATCCAAGGACTGGAGATAGCTCGGCACACCAGCCGGTGGGCTGGAGCCAGCTGGGGGCCTGCCAATTGCCCCGTTTCCTTGGTTGCATGCCAACAACAGGGTTATGGGCCCAGATCCACGGCACTTACACAAGAGTAAGGCTGCTGATGGATGCTGCACCACCTGGCATTTGATGTGTGTGCCAAGCAATTAAGGCCGGAGAGAAGCAGGCTGTGTTGATTTACGACCTGCTAAGATAAGCGGTTGTGAAGAGCTCAGGTCCTGGCTGAAGTAAAAAGCAGGAATGGATCTCTTACAAGCATCAGATGGGGCTCCCTGTCCACGTCTAAATGGACACAATTATCAGACCTGGGCAAAGTACTGCAAGGGTCAATTGAGAAGGCTTGGGGTATGGAACACTGTTTCTGAAGATCCCCCAGCTCAAATAACAGATGCATGGTCTGCAGCCGACTCCAAAGCAATGGGGGCGATTCTCCTGTCAGTAGCTCCGGAGGAGTTAATTACCCTGGCTGGCAAGGCGTCTTCACGCCAAATGTGGAAGGCGTTGAAGGAATCGCATCTGAGACAAGAAGCTGGGTCTGTATTGCTTTACTTCAGAAAGCTGCACAGAAAGAAGCTTGAGCCAGGGGGAGATCTCAGAGCCCACGTATTGGACTTCCAGAAGTTAAGACAGGAATTAGTGCATATAGGTTTCATTATGCCGGAGTCTTGATTTGCGGTCCTGATTTTGGACTCCCTGGATGAGAGTTACCACGCTGTGGCAAGCCAGCTGGCTACTCTACTTGCTCAAGACCTGACTGCAGCAAAGGTTTTGGCTGTCCTCCAAAATGAGTGCAGTGGTACCTTGGGTTAAGAACTTAATTCGTTCCGGAGGTCCGTTCTGAAACTGTTAGTAACCTGAAGCACCACTTTAGCTAATGGGGCCTCCTGCTGCCGTTGCACAATTTCTGTTCTCACCCTGAAGCAAAGTTCTTAACTCGAGGTACTATTTCTGGGTTAGCAGAGTCTGTAACCTGAAGCATATGTAACCCAAAGCGTATGTAACCCGAGGTACCACTGTATGATCGGAGGAACGCAGAACCCGATTGCGTGCTTCAGGGAGAGCAGACTGCGATGTCATCTGGGACAGCATTGCAGCCACCAGGGGAAGCTAAGGCTTTGGCAGCTGTGAAATGCTAGTCCTGTGAGAATCAAGGTCACGTCCAACGGAATTGTCCAAAGGCGAAAGATAAACAGAGAAAAAAGACTGCAGATGGCCGGAAGAAGGGGGGCCAAAAGCCCGAAACAGTGCAGAACAAGGCTTTAGTTGCTAGCACTGCTTCTCCAAAGCCTGATTTGTTGTGGATTCATGCGCATCGCAGCACATTGCGAGGGACAGACACTTGTTTATCTCCTTTATGCCACAGGATGGGGCAGTTCAACAGGCTGATGGAAAGACATTGCGGGTTGCTGGAATTGGGACAGTGAAACTGACAAGCTTGCACACCACCATCAGCAAGGTACTGTATGTTCCTGCTTCAGCAGACAATTTGCTCAGTATCCCACAGCTGACTGAGCAAGACTTTGAAATTTCCTTCAAGAAGGGGGTTTGCATCATTTGGAAGAACAATGAAGGAATCTTGCATGCTGATTTTATAGATGGATTGTTCTTGATAACTTACGATGACACTGGTGTTAATGTGCCTAATGTTGAATCTTGTTGTGTTGCACAAACTAACAAAGTTCTTCATTTAGATTGTATTCATACACATCATCAAAGATTTGGTCACATGGCATGGCAAGCGCTCGCCAAGATGCCAGAGAAGGTTCAAGGTATGACAATCAAACTCTGCAGGTATTATATGAAATGTGTCTCTTGTGCAGAAAACAAAGTGAAGGTTGCACCCAAAGGCAGTGTCTAGCAGGCAGGCGTCTAAAACCTATTAGCTAGTCCACGCAGACCTGGTTGGTCCACTTTCACCCTCTTTGGGTGGTGCCAGGTACTTCGTGGTTTTAATTGATGCTTTTTACAGGTACATTCATGTGTTTGTGCTCAAGCAGAAATCAGAAGCATTTCCTAGGTTCAAGGCCTTCTGTGCTTGGTTGAATAATGCCCATGGTAGACAACTTGGTTGTTTGTTTACTGACCGAAGTGGGGAATTCACTTCTCAGCAGTTTGAAGCTTTTTTGACTGAGAAGGGAATCCAGCACGACCTCTCAAGTTCCAGATCTCCCTGGGAGAATGGACTTTGTGAAAGGACAAATCAAACTTTGCTGCAAGGCCTAAAACCCTTGTTGCATGATGCCAATCTTCCTGAGAAATATTGGGCAGAGTCGCTGAATAATTTTGTTTACACGTATAACAGGAGATTGTCTTCACCTATCGGCTGTACTCCCTATGAGAAGATGTTTGGTAAGAAACCTTACGTCAAGCACATGAGAATCTTTGGTTCTGACATGTGGGTCCACACCCCACAGAGCAGCAAGCTTGGGAAGCGTGGGGCACATGGTTTGTTCATGGGGTATGAAAAAGGTGCATACAGGGTACTCATGACTGACACTAAGACCATACGGTTCACAAAGAGTGTTGAATACAATCCCAAGGGGGGGGGGAATGTGGGGATTTTCCAGAGTCACTCAGAAGATGAGGATGCTGAGGTAGCAGAGGAAGCTGAGGATGATGATCAGAGTTCAGATTCCAGCTTAGTGGGCGGTGCTGCTGCTGATGTCAGCGACAGTGATGACACAGCAGACTACAAGAGCGCAAAGGCCTCACTCAGACCATCTGATGGGTTTGACACTAAACTGGAAGAACCACTGTTCACCATTGGCCACCATTCTCCTAAGAAGGAGGAGATGAGTGCTGAAGACTTGCATCTAGTATGCAGATCTGCAAGGGCCACAAAAGGCAAACCTCCAAAGAGATTTGCTGATGAGTTTGCTAAGACAGCAACAGCTGTTGTTAGTAGCTGATCCAAGGACTGGAGATTGCCCAACACACCAGCCAGTGAGCTAGAGCCAGCTGGGGGCCTGCCAATTGCCCCCATTTCCTTGGTTGTATGCCAACACCTATTAGCTAGGGACAATGGGAGTTGTAGTCTCAAAACATCCGGAGGGCAGAGTCTGCCTATGCCTGGAGTCGAGGAGCGGGTGCCTGAAATGATCATCACCCAGAGACTTGGTTTGGTTGTCTTGTTTTGCTGCTATGAGGCAAGCTTCAAACTGCTGCTTTTTGAAGGTCTCCTCCTCCAATCTGAACCAAATCTGCTTGATTTTGGTAGGAAAAATGGAAACCGAAAGCCAGCCGAAGAGACTTTTCCAAGGAACCACCAACATTCTTTCTCCCGACGTGACCCACCTGTCAGACCTCAGCTCATGGTAAAATTAATCTTAATAATGCATATACTACTCATCTTGGCCCAGAAATGGTTTGCCATGTCTTTTGATGTTCTAGCATTCCAAAATAGTTCCTACCCAGGGTGGATAAAAATCAATGATTTAAAAAAAAAAAAAAAAAAAGGGATTTTATATTTAAATCTGATTTTTTCTACTTAAATTGGATTTTTAAAAATTTAAATCCGATTTCTAAAACAAAATGCTTTTGGAGGAAAAATCTTTCTAAAGCTTTTTTATTTAAGTGACATTCTAGTCCAGGCATAGGCAAACTCGACCCTTTAGATGTTTGGGGACTACAACTCCCGTCATCCCTGACCACTGGTCCTGTTAGCTAGGGATGATGGGAGTTAAGTTTCTTCGGATTCGTTGTTTTTTGTTTGTTTTTGCATTCACTTTATGTGCACTTTATCAGAACAAAATGAGTTGGTCTATAACAGGCATAGGCAAACTCCGGCCCTCCAGATGTTGGGGACTACAATTCCCATCATCCCTAGCTAGCAGGACCAGTGGTCAGGGATGGTGGGAATTGTAGTCCTCAAACAGCTGGAAGGCCAAGTTGGGCCACCACTGCTCTAGATCAGGTGTGGCCCAACTTGGCCATCCAGCTGTTTTTGGACTACAACTCCCATCATCCCTAGCTCACAGGACCAGTGGTCAGGGATTATGGGAAATGTAACATAGGAGTTTGCCTATGCCTGCTCTAAGATTCTACTGGACATTTTTTTAATTTTTAATTTTCATTTCATGTGCCCTGACTGAAGCTTGTGGTTTCCCCTCGTGCCCTGCAGTTTGTCCTCGGACGCCCTCGACGGGAGCTCCAGCAGTGCCAGGCTTTCCTCCGACTCCCTGGCCAAAGGCGCCGTGGCGGAAGCACCTGTTGTGCGATCCGAACCCCCTTCATCTTGATGGATGACCTTTCCCCCAAGTGACTCCCCCCTGCCGCTCGCCTGGATGTCCGCCCGTGCCGTCCTTTCGCTATACCCGCCTACAGAGAAATTGGTGGCATAAAACCCCTGAGGGCATCCGGATTATGAGCGCAGAGTGCGAAATACCCACGTCAACCTTCCTTCTCGGCAACGTCTCCTGGCGATTTTAATCCTTTTAAGGGATGCGTCAGGTCCCGGCGGTGCCTGGCTCGCCGGTTTCCCTTTTAATTCATTTGCCAACATCTGCTCGGTTTTCCTTTTAACTACCAATTATTTTGACAACAACTGCTCAGATCGGGACTTTCCTTTCAAAGAAAGTGAATCCACATTTCCTCCAGATTCTCGGAAAAGCACCCAATTTATATTCGCGTTAAAAATGTCGGCGAGAAACCAGTCGCCGTCACTTGTTCCAAAGGTAAGAATGTAGTTGAAATAAACTCTGTTGCTCTAGGTCAGGCCTACGCAAATTTGGCCCTCCAGCTGTTTGGGGACTACAACTACCATCATCCCAGACTACTGGTCCTGTTAGCTAGGGATTGTGGGAGTTGTAGTCCCTGAACAGCTGGAGGGCCGAGTTTGCCAATGCCTGGTCTAGATACTTGTTTAGAAAGAATAATTCTCCTTTTAATAGACACATCAGGCCCAATGCTGCTTGGTTTGCCGGTTTTCCTTTTAACTACCTGAAGGAGCGTCTCCACCCCCATCATTCAGCCCAGACGCTGAGATCCAGCACCGAGGGCCTTCTGGCGGTTCCCTCATTGCGAGAAGTGAGGTTACAGGGAACCAGACAGAGGGCCTTCTTGGTAGTGGCGCCCGCCCTGTGGAATACCCTCCCTTCAGATGTGAAGGAAATAAGCAGCTATCTTCTCTTTAAAAGACATCTGAAGGCAGCCCTGTTTAGGGAAGTTTTTAATATTTAATGCTGTATTGTTTTTAACACTTGATTGGAAGCCGCCCAGAGTGGCTGGGGAAATTCAGCCAGATGGGCGGGGTATAAAGAATAAATTATTATTATAAATTATTATTTTGCCAATGTCTGCTCGGATCGTAACTCAATTCTCAGAAAAGCTGTTGCGATCGCTTGTTCTGAAGCAGGCACAGGCAAACTCCAGCCCTCTAGATGTTTGGGACTACAACTCCCATCATCCCTGACCACTCGTCCTGCTAGCTAGGGATCATGGGAGTTGTAGGCGAAAAACATCTGAAGGGCCGAGGTTGAGGAAGCCTGACCTATTCTTTCTCACAAGATCCCATCGGCCTTAACTTCTTTTTTCTTTTTAAAAAGAAGCAAACAATCTACTGTCTCACACGCTATTTATTATTTATAATTCTGTAAAATAAAATAAATAAAATAATAATAATCATAATAGTCATAATCATAATAGTAGTAGTCTGGTGATTTGTTAGAGTATTTATGAAGCCCTTTCCCCATGTTCTGTGAGCGCTGGCTGGTCTGTATTGATAGGCAACGTTGTCCTATTTGTAGGATTCCGGTTCCAAATGTTTCTTGTCGTCCACATTTGGAAAACTTTGATTTTCTTCCTTCCTTCATTCCGAGAAATAGCACGGAATTTGATGTGGAATTTGTGCTCATCTGGCTTGGAAAAAGGAGAAAAAAAGGACATTTGGCTTTTCCCTTCCTGGAATTTTCCTTTGGAAAGCGTTGGTTTGGAATTGGAGTTGTACCTCTTGTTACCCCTATTCTGGTTTTCACCTGGGGAGAGTTGGTTTCCTCAGCCACCACTGCTCTAGATCAGGCATGGCCCAACTTGGCCCTCCAGCTGTTTGGGGACTACAACGCCGATCATCCCTGACCACTGGTCCTGTTAGCTAGGGATGATGTGCGTTGTAATCCCAAAACAGCTGGAGGGCCAAGTTGAACCACGCCTGCGCCTACTATGGATGAGCTTCCCTGAAGTGCAAATACAGCAGTACCTCCGCTTATGTAACCCTTTGGTTACGTAAACTTCGGGATATGTAAGTGGCAACACCAGAAGTGTTTTACCGGGTTTTGCAGCTTGCGCAGAAGCGCTCTACCACGCCACGCGCATGCACAGAATGGCACCTCCGGTTGCAAAAACCTCGGAATCCGGCCAGACCTCCAGAACGGATCCTGTCCGCAACCAGAGGTACCGCTGTAATGTATTAGTTTAAATATATATATATATATATAGATCTGTGTTGCAGATTTAGCAGTCAACAATTCATCCGGTGTAGTTGTATGGTTGCAAAAGCTTGTCCTCTTTTCTCCTTTTGTAAAAAGGGCGCCAGGGGTCAGCAAACATTTTCAGCAGTGGGCCGGTCCACTGTCCCTGGACCTTGGGGGGGGGGGGCGGGACTATTTTTTTTTGGGGGGGGGGAATGAACGAATTCATATGCCCCACAAATCACCCAGAGATGCATTTTAATAAAAGCACTCATGTCAAAACACGCCAATTCCTGGACCGTCCGCTGGCCGGATTGAGAAGGCGATTGGGCCGCATTCGGCCCCTGGGCCTTAGGTTGCCTACCCATGCTCTGGGCCATTCCCCCCCCCCCATTTTCTTAAATCTGAGTCTCCAAAAATAGGGGGCGTCTTATACTGTGGGCCATCTCCTCTCTCCTCCCCCCCCCCCCGGTTTTCTTAAACCTGAGTTTCCAAAAATAGACTGAAAAACATGGCAGCTTCCACTGTCAGGCGAGCGGCTTTCTATTCCGCCATCTTGGCGTTTTATCCGTATTTAAATTTGCAATACTCACAGTCAAATGAACGTTGCAGATAGAACTGCCGGCTCCTATGGCAGCCAAACGCTAAAGTCGACGTGAATTTAAAAACATGCAATTTAAAAAGAAAGCAGAAATGAGATTTTTGCATGGTAGACCTAGGTAGAGAAGTTTCTGCAAATTCCTTCGACCATTTCATGGCTGTCTGTCGAAAAGTGCCTCCGAGCATGCGAGTCTTTCCAGTGAAAACAGAGTTAAAGCTTTGCTTTCCAGAAAAAAAAAAGCAATGCAAATCGCCAGATGATTTTTGCACCCAAACGGGAGTCAGAGGCCCACGTTCAGGATGCAAATTTAAAACGCGGTAAGAAAAGGAGAAAAAAGATAAACATCCAGTTGTGTTCTCACTCATGTTCTCAGGATGACCATAGTGATAAGACCTGCAAGAATCAGAGGAAAAAATCCAGTTATTTTAGCTTAACTCGAGAAATAACCCACACCGAGAGGTTTGTTAGGTGTGGGGGGCACGCATGAAAGCTTGTTCACCGGGAGCCAGATGCACGTTTGTTAATATTTGTGAAATGTAGTTTGCATAGACAACTGATCTTTGTACAAACGCCGAAATGTCAGGGGGCTCAAATATACTTTCAGTTGCAATCAGGGTGGATTGGATTCAAATCAATTTCAATCACGATTTCAATCACTAGTCAGTAAGACTTGATTTAAATCATATTTTTTTCTACAGGAAGGTTCAGCCTTGCTGCCATCCTCTTCATATTTGACAAGCACAGGAAGGTTTCCTTTTTGGAATAAGTTACAGAAAGGTTCAGCCTTGCTGGCATCCTCCTAATATTGACAACCAGAGGGAGGTTTCCTTTTTGGAACAGTAAAATTTCAGAATCGTTTTTACAGTTCTATCAAAAATGACTGATTTGGTTCTACTATTCGAAATACATTGACAGATAATGATGAAATGTTGGTGAGGTTTCATAAGCTAACTGTTTCTATTTGGACAGCTTTTCTGCTGTACTTAATTGAAAGGAGAAAAAGAATCATTTCCTTCATCACAATTTAAACCATTTATTTAACTAAAGCAATAACATGCTAGCATATGGACCCATGTTTGTTAACTGATGGGGTTGAACGTTTTTTAAAAAACAACTTAAGACTGAGTTTTAGCACACATTAAAAACTTAAAACAAATCCTTATTTCCTGATGAATAGCTTTTGGACTATAATGTAACCTAAAAGGAAAACTATAGAAAGATTCTTCCTCCAAAAGCATTTTATTTCAAAAATCCGATTTTAAAAAACTTTTTTTAAAAAACCATTGATCTTTATCCACGCTGGTTGCAATTTTGCTGGCATGGGCCTCACACAGTGACTCGATTATAGGTTGTTTTTTTAAAACGTTTCTATACACATTTTCATTTTTTCACTTGGTCCTGCCCCAAATCACATAATGTAATGATGACAAAAAGATGCGTACCTAATACGTAAGCTGCTACTAACTTTTGATTCACACTTAAGTGGAGGTAGAGAGGCACGAGGGAACCTCCTTCTCCCAATGTGGGAAGCATGAGAGCCGCAATGCACACGATTCCGAGGAACACGGTGAGCAAACTCGGCCCTGATGAGGCAATTCTGTTTTCTAGAAAAAGGAAAAGGCATTTGACATTATGGAAAGGGGCAGAATTTCTTTCCTTTCCTTTCTTCCCCCACCCTTTTATTGAATTTAGTAAATAACAAAACTTTAAAAAAAAATCTTTATTATGTTGCAAAGTAAATAAATCAAAACAAAACCATACATAAAGAAAAATATCCAATAAAACATAAAGAAAAAAAGAAGAAAAAGAAAAGACAGTTAAAGAATAAAGAAAAGTATAATATTTCAATACAATAAACACTATTTTACATAATAATAATAATTAGACTTCCATCACTCTCACATTTCCTTTCACCATATTTTATCTGTATTTCAGTATTATTTTCCTCTTAATATATAGATTTGTATATATGTATATTTTCCCTTTTCTATTCATGAGGTCATTCTAGAAACAGCCAAATTTTTACTTTTGAACCTTGTCTTTCTGAATAGTCATTCAAGCAATTCCATTCCTTCTTGACTGTATTCATTGGCTTTAGTCTTCTTATATCCATCATCAATTTGGCCAGTTCCAAATATTCACATAATTTACATAACCATTCCTCTTTGGCCGGTACCTGGTTACCCTTCCAGTACTTAGCCACCAGAATTTTCGCCGCTGATGTCGCATACAGAAAAAAATTAGTTTTTTCTTTTGGAATACAGCATCACTGTTCAATATTCCCAAAAGATGTGTTTCTGGTCTTTTACTATGTGAAGTTTTTAGTAACTTTTTTATTTTTTCATGAATCATGTCCCAGAACTTTCTGATCTCTGGACATGTCCACCACATATGGTAGAAGGTTCCAATCTGTTTTGTGCATCTCCAACACTTATTACCAAGCGATTTGTTCATTTTAGCCAATCTCTCTGGTGCTAAATACCACCTACAGTGCATTTTCAGGTAATTTTCTCTTATTAAATAACATACTGTAAAATTTATATTTTTTTGTCCACAGTTTTTATGAATGGTATAATACAGGCATGTCCAATAGGTAGATCGTGACCTACTTAGACCTGAACCCCCCCTGAAACAGGGGTATGTCACTGCCAGTTTTTAATTGAGTGGATCACAGTCTCTTGGGAGTTCGCCACCCCTGGTATAACAAAAAGTACAAATGACTATCCCAGATAACTATCCCAAAATACAGACATGCCTTCATACTGGCCAGATTGGATGTGATGCCCTCTGCCGTACTTGAGGGCAGATACCAAAAGATTCCAACTGAGAAACGACTCTGCCCCTGTGCAGATGGCAATCTGGAAACAGTGGCTCATGTTTTCCTGTCCTGTTCTGTCCCCTTTATAAAGATCTGAGGAATGAGATCACCCCCCCACTCTTACTTACCATCCCAGGCCGCCCATCTGTGGCCACATTGTTTTTTCTTTTATCAGATCAAAATGATCAGACAACAGCAAAGGTTGCTAGGTTTATCAAGGGTGCAATGAGATTAATGGACACTATCTGAACAATAATCTTGGCCCTTTTTACCCATTGTTGTCTTTTTAATTGTATATATTGCTTGTTTTATGTTGCTATGGCCATTGGCTAATGTAAATAAAGTTTATCTATTTATCTACAAATGAGATCCACTTCATTCCTAAATGTTTCATTTCACCAAACAATCTTGCTTCCCATCAAATCCACCCTGCCAGAATGGCTAGGACTTCAGGGGTCGGCAGACCTTTCTGGCAGGGGGCCAGTCCACTGTCCCTTGACTATATTTTGAAAAATCAATAAAAAAATGAAGAAATTCCTATGCCCCACAAATCACCCAGAGTTGTGTTTGAAATAAAAAGGCGCATTCTACTCGTGTAAAAACACGCCAATTCCTGGACTGTCCGCTGGCCAGATCAAGAAGGTAATTGGGCTGGATTCAGTCCCCGGGTCGTAGTTTGCGGACCCATGGATTAGAGCAGGGGCCGGCAAAATTTTTTTGCCGTGGGCCGGTCCACCATCCCTAGCAACTTGAGGAGCCAGAGAAGCAGCACCGGGGGGGGGGGGGGGAGCTGGAAGAAGAGGCGAGGGGGGCAAGTAGTCCTCCCGAGCCCCACCTGCTGCAGTTACCTCCTGGAGGCTGCCACCACTACTGCTGCAGATTCTCGTGAGTAGGCAGAGCGAGCTCGTCCGCTGCACTCTCTGGCCCACAGGAGCAGCAGGGCGGCGGAGTGCGAAAGGGCTGGCTCCGGAGAGGGGCTGCTCAAAATGGCACTCAGCCAGCCCCCTTCCTCCTCTAGGCAGGGTGGGGAGAAGCAAGGAGGAGGGAGGGATTTAAATCACTAGTCAGCAAGACTTGATTTAAATCATTCTTTTTTACAGAAAGCTTCAACCTTGCTGGCATCCTCTTCATATTGACAACCAGAGGAAGGTTTTCCTTTTTTTTGAATCATAAAATCCCTTAGTTTTTTGTTTTTTTGCTTGTTTTTTTACAGAAAGCTTTGACCTTGCTGGCATCCTCTTCATATTGACAACCAGAGGAAGGTTTCCTTTTTGGAATTTGGAGGCACACCATACCATCATTTGCTAGACTAAGCTTGTAAGGTGACTTGATGTTACACCGTTATAGTACTATAAAAGAAGTAATTGCAACAATAAATGATATGCAGTGAGAATGAGAATTTAAAGGACTACAAGGTGCTGGGTGCTGGTGGAGGAGAGTCAAATGGGTATGGTCCTCCATCCTTCCTTTCTTTCTTTCTGACCCTTTCCCTTTACTCTCTTTGGTTTTGGGGGGTGAACTGTGTGTACCTTTTTGTCTGTTTGTAAATATGCTTAAATAAAACATTAAAAAGTCAAATGGGTGTGGTACTTGATCCTTCCCCCCCCTTCCTGACCCCTTCCCTTTACTCTCTGGTTTTTGTGGTTAAGTGCAGGCTTCCTCAACCTCGGCCCTCCAGATGTTTTGAGACTACAATTCCCATCATCCCTGACCACTGGTCCTGCTGGCTAGGGATGATGGGAGTTGTAGGCCAAAAACATCTGGAGGGCCGAGGTTGAGGAAGCCTGGGTTAAGTGTGTGTACCTTATTATTAAGTAAACTTTTATTTATACCCCGCCCTCCCCAGCCAAGACCAAGCTCAGGCCGGCTAACCTCAAATATCAAATACATGAAAACACAACCAAATGATTAAAACACAGCTTAAAAATTAGAACCAGGATAAACTTAAATGGCTGCCCATGAATTACAACCATAGGGGTCGGGGACCTCAAGTATTCGTAAGGGCCAGCTATCCGTTTTGGTCCCACATGAGCCGATAAAAGGGCCAAAGAGATAACTTACAGGGTCCCATAGAGGGGGGGGGGGTTCAAACTGGGCCCGGACCGAAGGCCAGGTGGAACAGCTCCGTCTTGCAGGCTCTGGTGGAAGGACGTCAATTCCTGCAGGGCCCTGGTCTCCTGCAATAGAGCATTCCCCCAGGCTGGGGCCAAAGCTGTAAAGGTCTTGGGCCCTGGTTGAGGCCAGTTGAACTTCCTCGAGGCCTGGGACCGCCAAGATATTATTATTTGCAGACCCTAAGGTCCTCCACGGGGCATGCCAGGAGAGGTGGTTCCGTAGGTACGAGGGCCCTCGGCTGTATAGGGTAAGGTTACCAGGCGACCCCGTTTCCCGGGGACAGTCCTTGGATTTACAAATCGGTCCCCTGACAAAACCTATCCCCTTAAACTGAAGTTGAAAAGTGTCCCCGGATTCATGGGGGGGGGGAATCCGGTAACGTTAGTATAGGGCTTTAAATTATGGTTACCAGATGTCCCCGTTTCCCAGGGACAGTCCCCGGATTTACAAACCTGTCCCCAGATTTAATGTCCCTGGATTTATATTGTTGTTGATTTATTGGTAGGGAATGAACGTGGTGTGATTGGTTCAATGGCACAAGGCACATCATATGGCTGCTGAGGCTGCCACTGCCGCCGCCACTGCCAAGGGGGAACTGGGGACGCCCGGCATGTCGACTGGGGGAACTGCTGACACACACACACCCCGCGACCCAAATCAAGCCGGGGGCAAGAGCGCCCGGCCACCCAGCTGACTGCTCAGTGGCGCTCTGGGGCAAGAAATACCCCGGAGCCGACACAGGGAGGAGGAGGAGAAGGAAGAGAAAGAGGAAGGCAAAAAAGAGGGTACTTCTAATTTTTTAAAAAAGTAACTTTTCTGTTAATAGCTTTTTTTTCCTCTTTTCAAAAAAAAGTGTCCCTGGATTCTTTGGAAAACCTTACTTGAAAGCAGGCATCTCCAACCTTTGGCCATAGGCCAAAACATCTCAAGGGCCACAGGTTGGGGATGCCTGCTTTAAAGGTGAAAACCAGCACCTAAAACCTGACCTTGTGCTCCACCAGGAGCCAGTGCAGCTGGCATAGTGCTGGGTGGATGTGGTCCTGCGGCGGGGAGTGTTCTGCACCTGCTGGGGTTTCTGGGTCGGCTTCGAGGGCAGCTCCGCGTAGAGCGAGTTATAATAATCAAGCCGGGAGGTGACCGTTGCATGGATCACAGTGGCTAAATCAGGGCGAGGGAGGTAAGGAGCCAACTGCTTAGCTTGGCGGAGATGAAAAAATGCCACCTTTGTTATAGCTGCAACTTGCGCCTCCGTATTGTCTGCTTGTAAATATACTTAAAGAAATAAGAAAAGACAACTGGAAATTATGTGTGCAACAAAACCGGCAAGAATTCTACTAGCACCAGCTCGGAAGATGGAAGAAAGCCCAATGAAAAAACAGTGTCAAGAGAAACTCCTGGGATATGCACCATTAGCCAAATGAACAGATAAATTACACAAAAGGGACAACAAAGACTTTAAAAGAATTTTGAACCATTTACGATATATATGAAGAAACAACACGAAGAGTTGGACTCATTGGCAGGGTTTGAGTAAACATTCACAAGTGTATATAACATGGGTAGCCCAATCGCCTTCTCAATCCAGCCTGCAGACGGTCCAGGAATCAGCATGTTTTGACATGAGTAGAATGTGTCCTTTTATTTAAAATGCATCTCTGGGTTATTTGTGGGGCATAGGAATTTGTTCATTTTTATAAAACAAAATAGTCTCCAAATATATATATATATAGTCTCCAAAATATAGTCTGCCCCCCACAAGGTCTGAGGGACAGTGGGCCGGCCCCGGCAGAAAAAAATAAGACGCAGGATGAAGAAATTGAAAGTAAAACCAAGTGGAAGGAGAAGGGAAGTCCAGGGGAGGGGGGCAGGAAAAAATGGGAAATTGTTGGAGAGATATTTCATCAAGGATGTATATATCGCAAAACCAATAAAAACTGTTTAAAGAAAAAAAAGTAAATATGCTTAAATAAAACAATTTTTAGAAAGAAAGAGGCAGGTACCGGTATATAGCACCAAAAAGCAATGGCGTTCCAAGCACCCAACTACCTGGCTGGCATAAAGCCTGCTCGAAAAAGACGCTCTCTGCCAGGTGCTCCGTGATCCTCTTCTCCTCCTCTTCCTTTGGCTCTTTCGCCGCCGGAAGCAGCATGGCGATGACCTCTTTCCTCCCCAATGCTTTCCTCTGGCTCTGCTCGGAGACCAGAAGCCGAAACTTGTCAATCACACCATAGTGGCAAGGTTGGACGTCTTGGTGACGGATCATGCTGTAACGGGAGAAGAGTATGAACGGCCACATTTCCGTTTTTAACACGTTATTGCTTTTTTTTGTTTTAATGTTTATTAAATTTTCTTTTTTTCCTTTATAACAAGCATCCCCAACCTGTGGCCCTCCAGATGTTCTGGCCTACAACTCCCATGATCCCTAGCTAACAGGACCAGTGGCCAGGGATGATGGGAATTGTAGTCCAAAACATCTGGAGGGCCGAATGTTGGGGCTGCCTGCTTTATAACAACCAAATAAAATTTCTTTATCAAATATATCTTTTTTCAAATTGAGCTTTGCCTTCCTCCCGTTCCCCTCCCTGATTTCCATATGCAATCACTTTTATCTTCGCATTTCTAAATCACCCTATTTACCTTATCTCAGGCTTCCTCTCAATATGGACAGAGGAAGGTTTCCTTTTGGGAAAGGTTCAGGCTTGCTTGCATCCTCTCAATATGGACAAGTGGAGGAAGGTTTCCTTTTGGGAACCATAAAATCACCCATTTCCTACCACCCTTCTGAGAAATACCCCACCCCACCCTCCCACTATATATCAGGGTCTGGGGACTTCTGTTTCAGTGTATTTGAAGAAGAGCACCTGCACATAAAAGCTTAGACCCAGAACAAACTGAGTTGGTCTCTAAGGTGCTACTAGACAATTTTTATTTTTTTATTATTTCAGCTATTTTTGTTCACCTGCATAATCTCCCTTGCTTTTTCCTGCCTGCCTAATTGCAGTCGTTCACAGTCGCCCACAGGTTGACCAATCCCATTGAGTTCTACTACCCTTTGTAGAAAAACCCCGCCCCACCCTCCCACTATATATCACGGCCTGGTAATAATAACAACAAATAATAAACTTTGATTTGTATCCTGCCCTCCCCGGCCAAAACCGGACTCAGGGCAGCTAACATCAAATATGTAACACTGGTATAAAATCAAGCAATAACGAAATTACCTCCTGAAAACAAGTCAGGATCAAATTAAAATCCAATTAGATGGCTTTCTGCAGGATTAGGGTTGGGAACAGTAAACGCTCATCAGGCCCAACTATTTGCGCTGCTCTTATATGGGCCTGGGAGGCCTCTTTTCATACTAGTCCTTATACAGACTTCAGTTTCCGTGTATCTGAAGAAGTGTGCATGCACACGAAAGCTCAGACCCAGAACAAACTTCATTGGTCTCTACGTTCCTCCTGCACCATTTTTCTTTATTTTCCCCACCCTGAGATGTCTTGATAAGGGTGGACTATACATCTAATAAAGGGAAGATCGGCCTCTGGAAGGCAGGTTAGTGGTTGCTATTCATTACAAGCCAACAAACCCAAAACCAGCTTTTTACTCACATGTCAACGCAGCACTGAGGCTTCACTGCACCCACTGCATCGACCACAATGTATTTATTTGGGGTTGTGCAAAGCACTGAAAGAAAAGAAAAAGGGTCGTCATTCGATGTCAGCCAATTGCCAGGAACTGGCACAGAAGCGAAGCTCAACATCAGGCACAGGCAAACTCCGGCCCGCCAGTTGTTTTGGGACTACAACTCCCATCATCCCTAGCTAATGGGATCAGTGGTCAGGGGTGGTGGGAATTGTAGCCCCAAACATCTGGAGGGACAGAGTTTGCCTATGACTGCTCTACATTTTTTCGTCATTTACTTCACCTACCGCAGGGATGGCCCAACTCGGCCCCCCAGCTGCTTTGGACTACAATTCCCATCATCCCTGACCACTTTTTTAATAAAGAATTTATTGAACAAGCAAAGTCTTAAAATACATGCAATACCAGCAAACAAACATAAAAAGTAGTGAGCGTATACATACAAAATAACAAAAATAAAGGAAAAAGAGAGGGAGAGGGAAAAAAGAAAAGAAAAAAGAAAAGAACAATAAATGAATAGAGTAAAAAACATAGTAACAGCTCATATTTTAGTCAGCAAAGAAAAGAAACTTCCAACTATACCCATGGTACTAATTTTCAAATAAACTATTATTTACAGTTACACAACGTTGTTTTTCGTTAACTGTTGGGGAAACGCTGAAGACCATTGTAATTTCAAGGAGCTAGATGACATGCCTCTTTCCCTTTACATTCCTGGTTTTAAATTTGCCGATTCATGCTGGTATAACTTGTTTTCCACACACCTGTGTCAGGAGTTTCCTGGGTCTCCTGTGTTCTAGGTGCTGATTGGCTAGTGGGGAGGATACCCAATTGCAGTGAATTGGGTTGGAGACGCTCAGCTGCTCCGCGTTCCTGTTGAGTCACAACCCGTGTCCCAGGCTGATCATGAGTGATCCCTGCTAACCAGGTGCAGTCAATCAAAGTTGGCTATAAAAGCTGTAGGTTGAAGGGGCTCACAGAGCTTCTTCACAGATTGAGGTACCAGATACTGTTAGCTGGGGTCTCTCTTGCTGCTTTACCTGGAGCTCCAGGCAGCTGAAGGGGAGATTGTGTGTGACTTCTGTCAGGTATGCTGTAATTTGTGTTTTGTATGCCTGCTGCTATCTGTTAACCTTATGCAAATAAAGCATTACTTATTCTTCATCCACTGGTGTGTTTATTGGCTCCAGATCTAGAAAAAACCCTGCCCTTGGCAGAACATTAACTTAATTTAACTTTATCTAACGTGTACTTTGTATTACAACGCTCATTCAATATCCACCAGAAAACTTTTACTATTGCAGTACCCTTTGAGATATTACTTATTAACCAATCCTTATTTACTTCTTGTTTTGTATTTCCTCTTCCTGACCCCGTTCTCCTTGCTAATTGTAAGTACTCTTATCAATTTGGCTTGCCATTCAGTCTTTGAGGGGACATCATCCCTGACCACTGGCCCTGTGAGCTAGGGATGATGGGAGTTGTTGTCCCAAAACAGCTGGAAGGCCAAGTTGGGCCATGCCGGATCTAGACTCCCAAGTTATTGTAACCCACCCAGGGACTTTCAGGCAAAAGGCAGGTCAGAAAGTGAATAAAAGGAAGTTGAGGCAATCCCTCCTCCCCAAGCAAGCACTTCAATTGAATTGTACCTGAGACGCACCTTTGAATTTTAAGGCAAATTCATAGGGGTTATAGAGAGTCAACACCTGTTTGTGGGTCGACAGGTCGTCTGCGTAAAAGATAAGCTCCGTGGGGAACAGGAATACGGGAAGGGTTCCTTCCACTAACTCTGGCTGCCGTTTTTGCTGCTGCATTGGCCCCGAGTCGTCCTCCCCGCTGCGCCTTCTACTCACAGGACCGCTTCGTCTCCCCAAGCGTCTTGTCAGAGCAATTTAGGAATCCGAATGCATTTTGGCAAACCTATAGGCAGGAAAAAAACAACAGTAAAGGTCAAAGGCTCTGGTTCGCATACTTTGGCAGCCAGGTGGATATATATTAATATATAGCAAGCTTCCTAAACCTTGGCCCTCCAGATGTTTTGAGACTACAATTCCCATCATCCCTAGCCAACAGCACCAGTGGCCAGGGATGATGGGCATTGTAGTCCCAAAAAAGCTAAGAGGGGGTCATCCCTGACACAACTCCGGGAACTCCGCCACGGGAGAGGGAGGCGCTGCCCACCACTGCCCGGGACCCCCAAGGCGAGAGAGAGTGACCGCCAAAGGCATGACGACGACGACGACACGCCCCCCCAAAAAGCCAGGCCCTCCTCGCCCTCAGCGAGGGTCGCCTGCTTCTTCGAGAGCCATTTCCCCCAGGAAGCCCCCCCCCCCAACGGCCCGATACCCCCGATCGCCGCCGCCCCCCCCCCCCCGCAGAGGAGCGCAGCGCAGCTCCTTCCCCTCAAGCCCGAGGAGACCCGCTTTTGTTTCGGGGTCGGGTCGCCTCGCAGCTGTTTCGAGACTACAACTCCCATCAAGGAGCAAGAGGTGAGGGATGGTGTGAATGGTAGTCCCCAAACAGGCCCCTCAGCGGGAAGGAAACTCCTGAGGGCATTCCTGGGGGCGGCAGACCCCCGCTCCCTGCCCTCACTCACCCCTTGGACAGACCCGCCGCCGCCGCCGCCGCCTCTGGGCTCTTTCGGTCACCAAGCGCCGCCTCTCCGACTCTCTCCCTCGGCTCAGCGGACGGGCCCGCCCATTTCCCCGCCCCTTTTTGTGTCACCAGTCGATAGGGCTGCCGGGAATGTGAAGCGGGAGGCGGGAAAAGGGCGCGAGAGGCGGTGCCTCTTCTCGACGTCCTTGGGCGGCAGGGGGCGGGGCGGTGGGTGGAGCTTCCCCGATGCGTGCACAGAGAGGAGGGCCTCGCTCGGGCCGCCCATCGTCGCTTGCTGCCGTGATGGGAACAAGGGCTGTTGTTTCTGTGGAGGCTGCGGATGTGCGTTTCCCTCGCCCGGCCCGTCCAGAAAGAGGGTCGTCCTCTCCCCGCCTCTCACGGTATGTAGTGAAAAACGACAATAAACAACGCGCGCGCGCACACACACACAGAATCGCAGGTTGGCTGGCGAATGGTGGCCGTCCAGCTGTTTTGGGACTCCAACTGCCTTCATCACTAGCTCACAGGAGGGTCTGGGTTAAAGGCGGATCTAGACGGATCCTCATGGATCCTCCCCTTTTTTAAAAATAACCCCAACAAATGCAGTGTCAAATCACACCTGGAAGGCACGCCTACAGACTGGACTATAAAAACGTGGATCCAACACTTTGCCGCGCTGCAGCAGCACAAAAACATGGATCCGAGGCATGGATCCTCATGAATTCATATGATTTTTATATTGAAACAAAATAAAAACACCATGATACTGTAGACCACTTCTTAGTCTGTAGGTAGAACCAAAAAAATCACGCATCCACTGTTTCGTGGTGCCGCAATGGCGCAAAAACATGGTTACAAAACACGGATCCTCATGGATCCTCATGATTTCTGCACTAGATCAGCCCAAAGTCACCATCATTTCAAATATCATGGCCATGGGCACAGCATCCACCACAAAAAATCACGGATCCATGGCTTCCTGGCCATACCATGGCCCAAAAACGTGGTTTTGAAGCATGGATCCTCACGCTTTTTCCATTGGGCCACCCCAAACGCACCGTCAAATCACACATCATGTCCTGAGGTACCGCCTGCACCACAAAAAAGTAGGATCCACGGCTTCCTGGTCGTACCGTAGCCCCAAAACGTGGTTTTGAAGCACGGATCCTCATGGATCCTCATGCTTTTTCATTGGGCCAACCCAAACTCATTGTCAAATCACATGTTATAGCCAGGGGCACAGCCTGCACCACAAAAAACTCAGATCCATGGTTTCCTGGTCGTACCGTGGAACAAAAATGTGGATCCTCATGGATCTTCACCACAAAAATCATGAGTTGCACTACAAAAATCACAAAAATGCCCTTACCTGCACTGTTAATGTCTCCACTGGAAAATTATTATTAGAGCCGAAAAGAGAATATATGACTATATATAGTACCAAGATATGGTTCATATTCAAGAACAGATCAAATACATGCCAAAGTATTAAAGAGGAGAAAAAATATGAAACTGCTTACATACTGTCAACTAATATCCAGATTCAAGAAAGACTGTATGGCAAACATTTTTTAAAAAATTATTTTTATTGAGATTTTCAGTTAAACAGAAAACAGAAAACAAACCAGAACAAACAATCAAAAACTAAAACAAACACTCTTAACAATCGTTCTTTGGTACCATCATCTTATTTACATTGCGTTGGATCACGCCTCGACTTCCTTCCTATCCCGTTGCGGTTTTCTTGGTATATTTCTACTCTTAGAGTTTCTGTTCCAATTATGTACACGTCACAAGGTTTACGTTAAGCCTACTGTAGTTTTTAAATTTCTACAGTTACTTTCAGTATATGTCACAAATTTACTCCATTCGTCAATAAACTTTGTACCTTCTTGGTGTCTAATTTTATGTGTCATTCTTGCTAATTCTGCGTATTCAAATAATTTTACTTGCCAATCCATAACCGTAGGGCTCTCTGCTGATTTCCATTTTTGAGCTATCAATACCCTGGCCGCCACCGTCGCATATTGAAACAATCTCTGATCTTCCTTTTTTAATTTCGTCACCTATTATTCCTAACAAAAATGCCTCCGGTTTTTTTGAAAAAGTATATCTGAAAATTTTCTTTAATTCGTTATATATAAGCTCCCAAATTTTTTTCATTTCCTCACAAACCCACCACATATGGTAAAGATCCCCATCCTTCTGCTTACATTTCCAGTATGTGTTTCCAATTTTATACATTTTCCCCAATTTTATACATTTCCCCCAATTTTATACATTTCCCCCAATTTTATACATTTTCCCCAATTTTACCAGTGTGATGTACCATCGGTACATCATTTTCTCCAGGTTTTCCCTTAATGTGACACATGTCGTGAACTTCATTCCTTTATTCCATAGCCTCACCCACTTGTCGTACTCTATGTTATATCCAAAATCAACTGCCCATTTTACCATCACCTCCTTTATCAACTCATCTTTTGTATCCCATTCTAACAAAAAATTATACATCTTAGATAAAAGTTTGGTTTTTCCTTCTAGAATTTCTATCTGATATTTAGATTTTTTCTCATTCATCCCCAATTTTTTATCTTCATTCCAAAGTGCATTTATCTGGTGGTCTTGTAGCCAACCTGTCAATCTATCTTTCAATTCCTCATAAGTTCTAATCTTCCAACCTTTTTCTGTTTTTACCAATAAATCTTCATATGTTAACCTTTTCTCCTCCATGTTCAATTTTTTATTGTTAAAATATCTACTGGGGGATAACCACCAATGGGGTGTTTCTTTCTAGAAGTTTTTTGTTTTTCTCCCAAACTTCGTACGGGGCTCCTCTAAAAATATGATTTGAAAAACCTTTGTGAACCTTTTCATTGTTGAGCCACAAGTAAGCATGCCAGCCATATCTATTATTAAAGCCTTCTAAGTCCAACAAGTCTGAATTTTCTAAAACAATCCACTCTTTAAGCCAACATAAACAGGAAGCTTCATAGTATAATCTTAGATTTGGCACTCTTTCTCTCCGGTCCGTAAGTATCTTGGGATTTCCCCCTCTAAGATATTGTTCATAACATCACACAATACTGGTATTATTTGATCACTTAGGGTTTTATAATATTTGGCTGATATGCCATCCGGGCCTGGAGCTTTCCCGATCTTCATTTTCTTTATTGCTTTTCAAATTTCTTGTTCTGTAATTGTCTGATGAATCTTTGGCCCAGTGAATCATAACCGACTTAACCTCTTCGTCCTTCAAATGCCGTTCAAGCAGCAATTTATACATTTTAGATTGGGAAAGCTCCAGGCCCGGATGGCATATCAGCCAAATATTATAAAACCCTAAGTGATCAAATAATACCAGTATTGTGTGATGTTATGAACAATATCTTAGAGGGGGAAATCCCAAGTACGTGGAAAGAAGCTTATATTATTTTAATCCCCCCAAAAAGACACTGATGGTTTAGAGGTTAAAAACTATAAACCTATTTCATTATTGAATAATGACTATAAATTATTTGCAGATGTATTGGCGGAAAGATTAAAAAGGCTTCTAAATAAAATAATTCTTGGCCTCTTTCCCTGCCATATGAATTTTGAAAGATTTTTTTGCCATTCCTTAAATATCGAAGGCCCCCTGATTATCGGAATAGTCTGAAATAGGAACAACATTTTTGGGAGAATATTCATCTTGATTGCCGCCATTCTTCCGGACCGTGAAAGCTTTAACCTATTCCGTATATCCAAATCCTTTTTAATCTCTTTCCATGTAGGTATATAATTATCACTGATTAAATTGATATTTTTCGATGTCAACCAGATACCTAGATATTTTACTTTTTTTACGACTTTAATTCCATATTTTTGTTCTAATTGCTCTCTTATATTCCTATCCATATTTTAAACCAGCATTTTAGTCTTTATTTTGTTTAATTTGAAACCTGATAATTTGCCGAATTCCTCTAATTGTTCCAAAACCTTACCGACGCTTGTTTGTGGTTCTTCTAAGGATAACACCAAGTCATCCGCATATGCCTTCAACTTCTACTCCTTGGTACCAATTTTGACCCCCCGTATCTCTTTCTTGCGTCCCAGACTATGTCAATATTAATATCATTATTTAAATTCCATTTAAGATATTCTTTCAGGGTGTCTTTAGCTTTTCAATTACTTCGGAGTTCTCAAAAGATTTTCATTCATCCTCCATCTATATATACTTTGCACTTTACCTTTTATTTCTAAGACTATGGGGTTATGGTCTGATAGAGTTCTTGGCTGTATTTCACATTTCAAAATTCTTGGAGTTAGGTACCTTGAGGTCCAGACCTGATCTATCCTTGCCCAACTCTGGTAAGGTTCCGAAAAGAATGTAAATTGCTTTGTACTTGGATGTTTATCTCTCCAAACATCTATTAAGTCCACCAAATTGAACAAGGACCTTGGTAATTTCCCTTGATTACCTTTCTTCTTTTTTGTTAGCCTGTCCAATTCTGACTGTACCACTCCATTGAAATCTCCTAATAAAATTATTTTTTGATCCTCTTCAATCTCTCTTCCAATTTCCTATAAAACTCTGCCTTATTTGTATTTGGCACGTAAATGGCAACCACATTAATATTCTCCCTTCTTCATCCTTACAAATTAATTTAGGTTCCCATTTTTCTTTGACATAGAGTACCACCCCTCTTTTTTTACTCACATCAGAATTAATAAATTCCACCCCTAACCTTTTCTTTTTCAAAATATATTTGTGTTTTTTGGCAATATGAGTTTCTTGTAAACAAATTACGTAGAGATTTTTTTTCTTCAATACATTCTCAATTTTATTCCTCTTAGATTTCTCGTTTAAACCATTCACATTCCAGGTTATTAATTTCAACGTCATTATTATTTAACCGAATTAACCGTAGTAACAAATTAAAATTAAATTTGAATGGTTTTGTCGCCTGTGTCCTCCTCTTCTTCTTCTTCTCCTCCCACTTCTCTTTCTTCTGTTTCCTCCTCCTCTTCTTCTTTTCCTCTTCTTTCTTTCTCTTCCTCTCTCTCCCTTTTCCTTCTTCTCTCCTCTAAATCTGACTCCCTTTCTCCAAATTTATCCTCTACCTTTCCAAGCTCCTTCTCATATCTCCTTGAAAATTTCCTCACTTCTTGAATGTCTGTCAACCTGAATCTTTTATTTTTGTAATGAAAGGAGATCCCTTCCGGGAACTCGCACCTGTGTTGTATGCCGTTTCTTTTCAAAACACTCACTAGTTGTTTATAGCCATCTCTCTTACGTAAAGATCT